CCTTCAGGGAAATGCATTAGGATCTCGATCTCACTTGATTAACATTCCCATGGAGAGCTCTGCTCTTCTCTGCAGCTGATCTGCATGCGACCTTCTTGGCACCCACCGGGTGGAAAGTTTGTTCAGCTTTAATTTTTCAGTCAGAATTGTGTAAGCTGAGGCCAGGCGAGGTGGCTCAGGCCTGGGATCCTAGTACTTTGGGAGAATGAGGCAGGAGGATAACTTTCAGGAGTTCAAGACCAGCGTGGTAACATAGTGAGACCCTATCACTCCAAAAAATAAAAAAAACCTAGCTGGGCATGGTGGTGCACACCTGTAGTTCCAGCTACTCTGGAGGCTGAGGTGGGAGGATTGCGTGAGCACAGGAGGTGGAGGCTGCAGTGAGCCACGGTCCTGCCACTGTTCTCAACCTGGGCAACAGAGCGAGAAACATGTCTTAAAAAAAAAAAAAAGAGGCCAGGCACGGTGGCTCAAGCCTGTAATCCCAGCACTTTGGGAGGCTGAGGCAGGTGGATCACGAGATCAAGAGATCGAGACCATCCTGGTCAACATGGTGAAACCCTGTCTCTACTAAAAATATTAAAAATTAGCTGGGCATGGTGGTGCGTGCCTGTAGTCCCAGCTACCCAGGAGGCTGAGGCAGGAGAATTGCCTGAACCCAGGAGGCAGAGGTTTAGGTGAGCCGAAATCGCGCCATTGCACTCCAGCCTGGGTAACAAGAGCGAAACTCCGTCTCAAAAAAAAAAAAAAAAAAAGAATTGTGTCAGCTGAACCCATTGAGACGTCTATGGTATTGGCCATTGTTTCTGCTGTTACTTATAAGTCCTCTTTAATTAAGGCATAAACAGATTTAATTCTTTTCCGGAAAAATTGATGTGTATGGTATGCACAGGGGGCTTCATCTTCAATGTGGTCTCATCTCTTCAAGATAAGGTCTCACTTTGTCCCCTAGGCTGGAGTGCAGTGGCACAATCACGGCTCATTGCAACCTCCACCTCCAAGCTCAAGTGATCCTCCCACCTCAGCCTCCTGAGTAGCTGGGACTACAAGTGCGCACTACCATGCCCAGCTAATTTACGTATTTTTTTTGTACAGATGGGGTTTCACCATGTTGCCCAGGCTGGTCTCAGATTCCTGAGCTCCAATGGTCCGTCTGCCTCAGCCTCCCAAAGTGCTGGGATTACAGGCATGAACCACCATGCCCTGCCTCGTCCCTTCTCAAAACAAGTTATCCATTTGTAAATGGCTAATTTCTTTGGAGCACTGTCAACTTTTTCTAAAACATCAATGATTTTGTCATTCCTCCACCCAAGCCTCACCATCAATTTGGTGCTTGTTCTTGCTTCGATTTTAGAATTCACATTGCTCTGATAAGGGCTCTTTTCAATCTGACGTTTTATTTTAGTGCCTCAAACTTGTCCTGTTCAGACAAGTTATAACAGGTTAGTACAAGTTTATTTTTGTGCAAAAAAAAAAAAAAAAAAAAAATTGAACTCCATGCCCAGTTTTTTTCATAATACACATTTATCGTGAATTTTTGGAAGAAGTTCTTTCTCTCTCTCTCTTTTTTTTTGAGATGGAGTCTTGCTCTGTCACCCAGGCTGGAGTGCAGTGACAAGATCGCAGCTCACTGCAACCTCTGCCACCCAGATTCAAGCGATTGTCCTGTCTCAGCCTCCCAAATAGCTGGGAATACAGCTACAGGTGGGACTACCACCATGCCCGGCTAATTTTTGTATTTTTAGTAGAGCCGGGGTTTCACCATATTGGCCAGGTTGGTCTCAAACTACTGACCTTGTGATCCACCCACCTCAGCCTCCCAAAGTGCTGAGATTATAGCTGTGAGACATCGTGCCTGGCCTTTCTTTTTTTAATTTTTGTTTTTGTAGAGACAGGATCTTGTTCTGTCACCGAGGCTGGAGTTCAGTGGCACAATCGTGGCTCACTGCAGCCTGGACCTCCTGAGCTCAAGCCATCCTCCCACCTCAGCTTCCTGAGTTACTGAGACTATAGATATGCACCACCACACCTCGGTAAGTAAAAAAAAATATTTTTTTGTATAGAGATGGGGGATAGATCTCATTATGTTGTCCAGGCTGGTCTCGAACTCCTGGCCTCAAGTCATCCTCCTAGAATTAGCCTTCCAAACTGCTGGGATTACAGGCATGAGCCACAGTGCCTGGCCAATAAGTATTTTTTAAATGAATGAAGAAATTGGTAAGTGGACCTATTTTCCCTTCAGCTTTCACAATAACCAGACTCAGAGTTCCCCGAAGGCAGGGCCTGTGAGTATCACTGTGCACCCTCAGCACTTAATAGCTGATAAAAATAAGTATTCAGAAAATGCTTGTGAAATGAAGAGGGGAACATGTATGGAACAGAAGGTAGACCAGTGGTTGCCGGGGGCTGGGACAGGGAATAAGGAGCGACTGCAAATGGGCAGAACGGATCTTTTTAGAGTGATGGAAAGGTTCTAGAATTGGCTGTGATGGCCGCACAGCAGTAAAATCACCTAAAATCAGTAAATCAGTTAAAACCGGTGAATTTTATAAGTAGCTTATACCCCAGTAAAGCTGCTGAAACCAAAGCTGTGTTGAGGGAGGAAATAAACGCTACCTTGGTAATAATGGGGACAGAGTGGTTATCTTTTTATTTTTTTATATATTTTTTGAGACGGAATTTCACTCTTGTTGCCCAGGCTAGAGTGCAGTGGCGTGATCTCGGCTCTCCGCAACCTCCGCCTCCCGGGTTCAGGCAATTCTCCTGCCTCAGCCTCCTGAGTAGCAGGGGTTACAGGTGTGCACCACCACGCCCGGCTAATTTTGTATTTTTAGTAGAGACAGGGTTTCTCCATGTTGGTCAGGCTGGTCTCGAAAGCCTGACCTTAAGTGATCCACCCGCCTAGGCTTCCCAAAGTGCTGGGATTACAGGCGTCAGCCATCTTGCCTGGCCAGACACAGTGGTTATCGGGACAGCTCTCTTCCCTGCCCTCATAAGGCTTTCTACAGGATGGGGAGACCGACCCATTACACACAGTGACCGCCTAAAGTCCTCACGGCGGGATGGTGGGAGGGGACCGGCAGAGTGGTGGTGGGGGATCCGGGGGGGGTGCCAGGATGCCAGGAAGCATGGGCAGGAGGGTCACAGTGGGATGGGGAAGCTGGGGCAGAGAGGTTGGGCTGGGCACAGGCAGAGGGGTCGGCCCGGGTCTGGGAAGGTGCAGGCAGAGGGCAGAGGGGTTGGGGTCCAGATGAGAGAGGCACAGGCAGACGGATCCGGGCCAGGCGGAGTTGAGGAGCATAAGGGACCATAGGAGCCCAAAGGAGGCGCCTGACTAGCGAGGGAGGACTTTCCATTGGGCGAACGGCTGAGCCAGGGCCTGAAGTATAATGTTCATAGATGCGACAGCAATTTTTTTGTTTTTGAGACGGAGTTTCCATCTGTCGCTGGAGGGCAGTGGTCTGATCTCGGCTCACTGCAGCTTCCGCCTCCTGGGTTCAAGCGATTCTCCTGCCTCAGCCTCCCAAGTAGCTGACAGGCACACACCACCACGCCCAGCTAATTTTTGCATTTTTAATAGAGATGGGGTTTTGCCATGTTGGCAGGCTGGTCTTTAACTCCTGACCTCAGGTGATCCGCCCGCCTCGGCCTCCCAAAGTGCTGCGATTACAGGCGTGAGCCACCACGCCTGGATAATTTTCGTATTTTTAGTAGAGAAGGGTTTTCGCCAGGCCACCCGGCCCAATTTTTAGTTTTCTTAAACACTTTTCCTGCCTGAGCATAGTTTTGGCGGGGCTGCAGCCCAGGCGCCGCGAGCGCAAGGCCACGAGGGGGCGCTGCTCCACCATCCTCGGGGAGCGTCCCTGGCGACCACGTGGCCCCGCAGGAGCCGGAGGTCCGGCAAGCGCGCGTCGAGGGTAGCTGGGGGCCGGTTACAGCCGGGGCACCCGGGTAGCGCGTGGTCCTGCGCAGGACGGTGGAAGCGGCAAGTCCCAGGGAGGACGAGACGCCGCGCTCCGTGGGGCGGTCCCAGCGTGGGGCAACGAGGGGCCAGGGCTGTCCGGGGTCCCGTGCGGGCGGCTCCCGGAGCCACTGCGGCCCCCCTGGAGGCGGAGCTTTCCAAAAAAACAAAAACAAACAAACAAACAAAAACGCCTAACAGGAAGCAAGGTGGCGGCGCCCGGCTCTGTCACCCACGGAATGCGTGAAAATAGTCGGCACAGCCGGGGGCGGTTCCGGGAGAGGGGGGCGGCCGCGAGGGGCGGGGCTGCAGCAGAGGGCGGAGCTTCCCAAAGCAAGGGCGAAGGGTACAGAACCGCTGCTGGGGGACGTCCTCCTGTTCCCCCAAAATGACCTCGATGGGAGTTTGCCTGGGATGGGGTTCCCGGGTAGGGCGGGGCTTTCAGTGAAGTGTCCCGGGTATTCTGAGCGGGCTGCAACCTGGGGAAATGGGAGTGGGAGGTTGATCCCGGCTCCAGGTCTCTTTGGAGCGAAAAACTCCATGGAGAGCCAGAGTCTCCATCCTGGGCGTGGGAGGCAAGATGGGAAATGGGCCAAGAGAAGCCTGTGGGAGGTCGTCCCCGGGACCGCCCCCTTCCATCTGCATCCGCGGGGACTGCTGTGGGGGTGGCTCTGAGGAAGTCTGCTCTGGGCGAAGGGAAGGCTGATTGTATGACGAGATCAGTCAGGGACGGGGTGGGGGTACCTTGACTGTGTCCCACATTTGCCGCCTGCTTCTACCTCCGTTCCCCATCAGTCCAGTTGCTCGAATCCTCTCTGTCCCGCTGTCAGGCCGTTTCTGTCCCTCTCGCTCCCTAGTGGTTTGCAGAAGGGAGCCTCTTCTGTGTCTGACTCTGTGCTGGCACCGGGAAGTGACTGAGACACCCCCCCCCCCGCCCCCGAACCCCTTTCTCCCTCACGGTCCAGTGAGGCAGCTAGACCTGCTGCCAGATAGTGACAGCCCACAATGCGCCATTGAGAGGCAATTGGGGAGGCGCAAGCAGATGGGTCAGGGCTGGGATAGGGGAGGACAGGGGCCTGCAGGATCCAAGAGGAGAGTGGGTGCTGCTTACTCAGTCTGGGGGGGTTGAAGAGCTGTCTAAACTTAGACCACAAAGACAGGATGGGGGCTGGGCGCCGTGGCTCCTGCCTGTAATCCCAGCACTTTGGGAGAAAGAGGTAGGAGGATCGCTTGAGGCCAGGAGTTCCAGACAAGATTGGACAACATAGCCAGGACCCCCTCCCATCTCTACAAAATAATTTAAAAATCAGTTGGGCATAGTGGTGCACACCTGTAGTCCCAGCTACGTGGGGGCTGAGGTGGGAGGATTGCTTGAGCCCAGGAATTCAAGGCTGCAGTGAGCTATGATTGCCACACTGCACTCCAGCCTGGGTGACAGAATGAAACCCCTGTCTCTAAAATAATAATAGTAAAACTACTGGGCTGAGCACGGTGGCTCACGCCTGTAATCCCAACACTTTGGGAAGCCGAGGCGGGCAAATCGCTTGAGGTCAGGAGTTCCAGACCAGTCTGGCCAACATGGTGAAACCCCATCTCTACTAAAAATACAAAAATTAGCTGGGTACGGTGTTGGGCGCCTATAGTTCCAGCTACTTGGGAGGCTGAGGCAGGAGAATCACTTGAGCCCAGGAGGGGGAGGCTGCAGTGAACCAAGATAGAACCCCTGCACTCCAGCCTGGACGATAGAGCAAGGCTCCATCTCAAAAAATAAACACTAACGAAAGGACAGGATGGGGCTCAGGGCCTTGGAAGAGGGTCAGCTTCTAAGAGGAGGTATTTGAACTGAGTCCATGAGTAGCATTCTTCTGGGAAGTGCTGTGTCACCCTGAAGGGAAGGGTGTCCTAGGCAGAGAGTATGACAAATGCAAAGACTTGGAGGTAAGAGTGTGGTTCATCTCTGACAGGGTTCTCTGCTCCCTCCCTGGGGAATCCCCCCAACACCGCATCCTGACAGAGCCATCTTAGGTCTCGGAGACCTGGAGTCCATGAGCAGGTGAATGGGCTGTAATGGAAACGCTAGAGAGGGCAGGCCCTAGGCTTGTCCCCTCATGGCCTGACGTTGTTTGTTTTTTGAAATGGAGTCTCACCCTGTCACCCAGGCTGGAGTGCAGTGGTGCGATCTCAGCTCACTTGATTTAAACTATTCTCCTGCCTCAGCCTCCCGAGTAGCTGGAATTACAGGTGCCCGCCACCATGTCCAGCTAATTTCTGTTATTTTCAATAGAGATGGGGTTTCACCATGTGGGTTAGCTAGGTTGGTCTCCAAGCCCTGACCTAGTGATCCACCCGCCTCAGCCTCCCAAAGTGCTGGGATCACAGACTTGAGCCACCACACCTGGCCTGTTTTTTTTTTTTTTTTTTTTTGAGACAGAGTTTCGCTGTTGTCACCCAGGCTGGAGTGCAATGGCATGATCTTGGCTCATCGCAACCTCTCCCTTCTGGGTTCAAGCAATTCTCCTGCCTCAGCCTCCCAAGTAGCTGGGATTACAGGCGTGAACCACCATGCCCAGCTAATTTGTATTTTTAGTAGAGACGGGGTTTCACCTTGTTGACCAGGATGGTCTCATGATCCACCCGCCTCGGCCTCCAAAAGTGCTGGGATTATAGGCGTGAGCCACTGCGCTCAGTCTGGCCTGTTTGTTTTGAGGTGGAGTCTCGCTCTGTTGCCCAGGCCGGAGTGCAGTCATGCAATCTAGGTTCACTGCAATCTTGGCCTCCCAGGTTCAAGTGATTTTCCTGCCTTGGCCTCCCAAGTAGCTGGGATTACAGGCACCTACTACCAAGCCTGGCCTTTTTGTTTTTTTTTCAGTAGAGACAGAGTTTCACCATGTTGGCCAGGCTGGTCTCGAACACCCAACCTCTCCAATGCCCATCGTCAGGTAATCCACCTGCCTCAGCCTCCCAGACTGCTTCGACTGGCTTTGGCTTTGGCCACAAGCTGGGTTTGAATCACAGCTCCCCGCACTAATCAGATGTATCACGGTAGGCAACTGACTCACCTTCCCCATCTATCCATTGGGAATGGAATATTGACTGCACAGAATCAATCACCTCATTTAAAGAGCTATAACAAAGCAAAATTTATATATTATATATATTTTAAAATACATCTTATACATTAGATCAAAGGACTCAAGAAACAACACGGAGACCGAAAAACGTTGCCACATCAGGTGACACTTTGGCCAGAGTTATGGAAAATGCTGACAAAACAGGAATTTGCCAGCACGGGCAGAGATGCTACCAATCCGACTCATTAAAACATGAATATTGAACTGACTGGAAGTTTGTTTGTTTTTTCAACAGTCCCACTGTTGCCCAGGCTGGAGTGCAGTGGTGTGACCTTGGCTCACTGCAACTTCCACCCCTGGGTTCAAGTGATTCTTGTACCTCAGCCACAAGAATAGCTGGAATTGAGAAAATATCAAACATTTGTTAACAGAAAACAAAACAAACACGAATGAAAAATAGCTGGGACTACAGGTGTGCGCCACCACACCGGGCTAATTTTTCAATTTTTAGTAGAGACAGGGTTTCTCCATGTTGGCCAGGCTGGTCTTGAACTCCTGACCTGAAGTGATCTGCCTGCCCTGGCCTCCCAAAGTACCGGGATTACAGGCGTGAGCCACTATGCTGGACCAGCAGTTTATAGTATTTGTTTTTAGTTTCTTGGTTCGAATCCTGTAAGGATGGAAATGGGGTGATTAATTTTGGGTTCGGATTCTGTAAGGATGGAAATGGGGTGATTAATTTTGGGTTCGGATTCTGTAAGGATGGAAATGGGGTGATTAATTTAGGCTCCTTTAATACCTGCCTGGCAGGTGCTGAGTCAGTGGTACCTGTTTTCACGCAATGACTCACAGGTTATCACTCACGGACACCCTTCTGACTCCGTTTCAGTCCATGACTCAGGAGGAAAGGCTCTGGGGCTGCCCCGCCCCTACACAAACCCTTGTTTCCCAAGGGGCGTTATATTCTCCCTTTATTGGCTGTCTTTGTATAATACAAATCTTCAAGTTTAGATACAAAAAAAATCTGGAAATAAAAGATAGAAAAGTACCCGCCAGGCACCCCTTCCCCTTCTTCCCGGACCCCTCCCAGCGGGCACCATCATGAGGTAACTGCGCATCTTCCTCTCCTCCCCCCTCCCTGCCTCCTGGGCCCCCAACTTGGCCCCAGTCCCCATGAGACCTTGGCCCAAGGAAGACATGGGCCCCAGAGTTGGAGGGCGATGGGGTTGAGTTCAGCACTGGCAGTGAACAAGTGTGGGCAGAGGGCAGCCCTTAGCTTGTGCTGTGTATGGGGGGAGGAGACGACCAGATTTGGGGTGGGCACTGGTGTGGGACCCAGGAGAGCCCCTGAGCAGGCGTCCCCCCTCCATCCTGTCCAACACTGGAAGGTGGGAGGTCAACAGAAACTGGGAAATGAAGTGTGAACCGAGGGCATTCAGTGGGATTGTGGCAATCCCCGTGTCTGGGGTGGGGGAAGGGGGCATTGCCAGCCTAAGTCCGGCAGTGAAATGGTTCCCTTAGCCAGGCTGGGTCCGTCCCTGAATTCCATCCTGTTGCAACCTGGGCATCACAATGTTGGTTCTCTAGTGGTTGTGGGGTGGTTGAGAGAGGTGGGGATGTTGAGAGGGTGTTGAGGGGCGCAGCCCCAGGGAGCAGGGTTAGGGGAGAGGTTGTGCCTCCACTCCCAGGTGTGGGGCACGTGGGGTGGGCGGGGCGGCTTGAGCTACAGTTCAATCTCAAATGTCTTCTGCAAGTCGCCAGAAAAGGGATTGGAGGGTTTCTCAACAGCGGGTTTGCCTTCTAATGCCGCCCACTGGGCCTCAAAGGGGTCCAACTCCGGGGCTGGGGCAGGCGCTGGCTCTGGGGGCCAGGGGGCCCCATTGGGGCGAGGGCGGGCCTGGCTCCCAGGGGCACTGGGTATGGCAGGGGGCGGGAAGGCCCCAGCTTTCCCAAGCAGAGTGGCAGGCTGAGGCTGGAGTTGGGCAGCTGAGCAGAAGGCGTTGGCCACCATCTGTGAGGGCGTGATGCCCACCACGGGCACCCGGGGCATCGGTGGGTAGCCCAAGCCTGGGTAGGCGGGCACAAAAGGGGGCTGCATGTGTGGGGGTGGCAGGAACACGGCCACCTGGGTGGGTGCCGTGTCGAAGGGCCCTACCGAGGCGGGGAAAGGCTGGAGGGCGGGAGGCATGGTGGGCACCGGGGACACCGAGGCTGCCTGCTGTTGCTGCTGCTGCTGCTGCTGGGCTTTGGCCACCTGTGACACCTCCTCCAGCCACCGCTCAGCCTCCGAAGGTGTCCGCTTGTGCCCAGGCTGGAAGGCAGCTGCAGGGGGCACAGAGGGCTCACCCCAGGCAGAAGTCCCTGGAGACGGGAGAGGGGCAGGTGAGGGACAGGGGCATCAGCAGAAGAACTGCATGGTGTGGGGAGCAGAGCACGGACTCTGGAGCCAGACCGCCTGCCTCTGAGTCCCAGCTCTGTACCTCCCTAGCTTGCTGACTTCAGGCAAGTGACTTCACCGTTCTGGACCACGTAATGGTTCTGGAGTGATAAGAACATACATCTGAGCCTCTACAGCCTGTGATGGGAAAGTCTAGGTAGGACTGACATCCTCCCTGCCCCACTGCCCTTCTGACTGGTCAGTGCCAAACCTGGGATTCACTATTTTATTGTGTTTGTTTTTTGTAAGTCTCACCCTGCTGCCCAGGCTGGGATGCAGTGGCCCTATCTCAGCTCACTGCAACCTCTGCCTCCCAGGTTCAAGCAATTCTCGTGCCTCAGTCTCCTGAGTAGCTGGGATTACAGGTTCTATTTTTTGTATTTTTAGTAAAGATCAGGTTTCACCACTATGGTGCCCAGGCTGGTCTCAAATGCCTACCTCAAGTGATCCTCCCGCTGACACTTCCCAAAGTAGCAGGATTCCAGGCGTGAGCCACCACACCTGGCCAGTATTCACTGTTTTGAATACCACCCTTGATTCTCTCATACTTTCAGAATGTATTGTTTTAGGAGTTAAGATTCTAAGATTGCATGGATCTTTCTCCAAATCTATATTATCCTAACGTAGTGAGTAAGGCTTGATGGTTTAAGGTTGGGCTTTCTAAGATTTGCGAGTTCTATATATTCAGTGTTTGGGATTCTAAGGTGCTCCCGTGGTTCTAGGATAAGCCCACGGTTCTAAGATCATACATGGTTCTCAAGTGAGTCCATGATTCTAAAACGATCTCTTGACTCTAAGGTGATCCCAAGATTCTAGGATGAGCCTGTGCCTCTGAGATGATCCCATGGTTTTAAGATGATCTCGTAGCTCTAAGATAATTCATGATTCTAAGGTGATCACTTGATTCGAGGTGATCCTATGGCTCTAAGATGATCCGTAGTTCAAGGATGATCCCATGGTGCTAAGGTGATCCCATGGCTCTAAAATGATCAAGGGCACTAAGATGATCCATGGCTTTAGGGTGATCGCATGACTCTCAGGTAATCCCCTGGCTCTAAGATGATCCACGGCTTTAGGGTGATCGCATGACTCTCAGGTAATCCCATGGCTCTAGGGTGATCCCTGGATCGAGGAAATACTGTGGCTCTAAGATGGTCTATAGTTCTAAGGTGATTCTCAGGTATCCCATGGCTCTGAGATGATCCCTGGATCTAGGATGATCCCCTGGCTCTGAGGTGATCCCTGGTTCTAAGCCTGTAGGATCCCAAGACCCTGGGGTGTCTGGGTAGCTATGGGTAGAGGAGGGGGTGCAGGAGGGACATGAAGGGCATCTGCCCAGTAGAAAGCCTGGCTTTACCTGTTGTGGCAGGTGGTGGCCCGGGTGCTGGCACTCCGGTACTGGCAAAAGACGAACTGATCTGTGTGCACAGAGCGTTGATGCTGTCACTGTCGCTGGCACCAGGAGGCTCCAGCTCAGGCACTAGGAACAGGGCAGGACAGAGGTCAGCAAACAGGCCCGGCCCCTGCCACAGCCCTGCCCTTTACCCCACACTCCCGGTGGCCCTCTCTTTTGACCCAGATTCTTTCCTGCTGTAGTAACTAAGTGACCATGGCCACCGAATACCTGTGCATATGTGGTGGTCACATCTGAGTGGCAGAATGACCAAGGTAGTGTGTGATATTTGACAGCTGACAGTGAACAGGGACCTCAAGATCTGTGTGCAGCCACAAACCAGAAGAGATGTTGAAAACATTTAGCGACATACGTTAGTATAAAAACATGCCCAACCACATGCACAGCAAGGACGTGGGCCCAGTCTGAATGGATGCTGGCCACGTGGCCACTCACTGGCTGGGGATCGTTTCTTCAGCTCTGGGCAGAGAAATGGGGTCCTGTGCACCCCACCTGGCCTGGCCTACAGCAAATATCATGAAAGCAGAGATGTACCTTTGCCAGCAAGGCAGGAGACACCAAGCAGGCAGGGTGGCCCCGCAAGGGCGTGGGATGAGTGAGGTACCCATCCATATAAACAATTAAGGACTGCCACATGTGATGCGGGACAAATGTCTGTGACTTTTTAGCCAATGGCTGCCTCCAAGGGGCCATGTAGATGCTCCAGTGAACATCAGAACTGGCTGCAGGAGGCAGCAGGTGTGCTGTGGAGCCCCGGTGGGACAGCCATTGCTGACAGTGATTGTGCACGTTCATCCAAACAGGCATGCGGCTTCTGAGGGTGTGGCACAGGAGTGTGGCTGGAGTCCGAGTGTGTGGCGTCCTGATGTGACTCCCAGGAGTAAGAGCATCTGCCGTGTGATGTATGAGTGTGTTTGCAGGTGTACATGAATCTGTACGTGTGGCTTTGGCATTTGCACAAATCTGGGCGTGTGGCCTGTGAATGTGTGTAAATCTGGGTGTGTGATTTTTCTTTTTTGTAATATTTATTTATTTATTTTTGAGACAGGGTCTCACTCTGGGGCCCAGGCTGAAGTGTAGTGGTACAATCTTGGCTCACTGCAACCTCCCCTCCCAGGCTCAAGCAATCCTCCTGAGTAGCTGGGACTATAGGTGCATGCCACCGCACCTGGTTAACAATAAAGGTTAATTTAAAGCATTTTTTTGTAGAGGTGAGATCTTGCTATGTTGCCCAGGCTGGTCTCAAACTTCTGAGCTCAAGTGATCCTCTGGCCTTGGCCTCCCAAAGTGCTGGGATTACAGGTGTGAGCCACCACATCTGGCCATGTGTGACTTCTGACTCTGCAATTTCGGAGTGTGTGCGACTTGAGAGTGTACATGACTCTGAGTTTGTGACTTCCTGAGCACGTGTGACATGTGTGAGAGTGTGACATCTATATGGGTATGGGAAATTTCTCTGTGGCAAGTCACGTCCAAGTGAGCATGCAGCTGGCCACAGGAGGGTGAGACTTCCAAATAAATCCTGGAGCTCCTGCCACCTCTCAGGAGCGCGTGTCACAGCCCGGGGAGTGTGCCTGACATCAGGCTGCATGAGGACAGCGAATGTGAGGGTGTGTGACGGCCAAGGAGTGCTGCAGGCGTGAAGTGAGTGTGCGTCACTCTCAATAAAGGTTGGCATCTGCTCCACGGTTACCTTGCGGAGCAGCCCAGCCTCCTGGATACAGCTCAACATGCTCCCACACCAGTCCCCGAGGCCATAATGGGTAGGCGACACAGATTTGGCATCCAGAAGCAAGAGAGTGGGCCAGACCACATGGCTTCACTGGCTGCTGGCGGGGAAGATAGCCCTTCTCCCTGCCTCCCTCAGGCAAAATCTCAGTAGCATGCCAACTCTATCTTCTCCGCTTCCCATGGCAGACATTGCTCTTAATTTTTTTACTTTTTTGAGGCAGGATCTCACCCTGTTGCCCAAGCTAGAGTGAAGTGGTGCAATCTTAGCTCACTGCAGCCTCAACCTCCTGGCCTCAAGCCATTCTCCTTCCTCAGCCTCCTGAGAAGCTGAGACCACAGGCATGCACCACCACACCTGGCTAGTTTTTGCATTTTTTTGTAGAGACAGGGTTTAGCCAAATGATTTGCCTCAAGTGATCCTTGAGCCCCTCCTGGGCTCAAGTGATCTGCCTGCCTTGGCCTCCCAAAGTGCTGGGACCACAGGCATGAGCCACTGCACCTGGCTAGACATCACTTTTAGATCATGATCTACACCACCTGTCTCCTTTCCCTGGCCCATGGCAGACATTAGTAATCGAACACAATGCTTTTTCCCCCACGGGCTCTTTGCTCACCTTACCTGTCACCTGGCCAGGCCTCATGGCTCCCCAGGCCAAGTGCTAGAAGAAATAGATCCTTGTAACTCCATCTTCCCCCAAGTAAAACAGGACCTTTCTATCTCCTCTCTCCTACCACCACCCATGGCAGACACTACCAATCAATTACGATGTGCCACTCCTTTTCTTCATGATGGTACTGGCTCTGCTTAACTCTGTGCCCACAACCAATGTCCTTGATCCATCATCATGGCCCCTACCCATGGGATCTCTGAGCTACTGGTTCCCTGCACGTCATGTTTCTACTGACCAAATTCTGGGAGTCTCCCCTGTGGATAAACACAACACTCCTGCTACTCTCTCTTCTCCCTTGCCCACGACAGACACTGTAAGGATATCATGATTGCTAACCAGTCACAATGTGCACCATCCTTCTCGTGTTCCTTAACCACAGCAGATGTTGCTAACTGATCATGATTTGTGACGCCTTTTCTGCCATTCCCTGATGCTCCCTGCCCTAGGCAGACATTGCTAATCCATCACAATCCTCCTTTCCTCTGAGTCTGAGGAATACCTGTATCCTTCACCTAGCCAGATCTCATGGGCAAATGCTTGGAGGGAGGGAGCATTAACCTACAGTGCTTCAGTCTACTCCTGAGTAAAAACAGGCCATCTGTGTTGCTTCTCTTCTTTCCCTGGCCATGGCAAACTTCCTTACCCATGCCAACTTCTTTGTCCATAGCAGGCTTTGCTAACCAATTATGATGTGCATCATCCTTCTCCTTTTCCTTAACCACAGCCGACACTGCTAATTGATCATAATTTGTGATGCCTTTCTGCTATCCCTTACTCATTGCAGACATGGCTTATCAATCCTGAATTGTGCCATCTCTTTCCTCTTCCTTGCCCATGGCAGACATTGCTAATTGATCACAATGTGTTCCACCTCTTTCTCCTTTGCCCACGGCAGACAGCGCTAATCAATCAGTGTGAACCATCTTGCCTCCATCCCTTGCCCACATCAGATAGTGCCAATTGAGTCCAACGTCCTTTCCCTCTGGGCCCAGGGCTCACCTGTACCCTTCACCTGGAAGTCAGTGCGGCGCTGCAGCGTGGATGGCAGCTCATTCAGCCGTAGGCTCAGCTGCCGTTTGAAAGGCGAGTTCTTCTGGCTGAGTGCTGGGAATCCACGGAAGGAGCCCTGACGAACCAGCTGCTCCAGCGGGGCATGGCGCCGGGGGATGGCAGCCGCAGTAGTACCTGCAGCCACAGGAGTGCCTGCCTCACCCTTCTCACCGGGGGATGTGGTGGCTGGTGTTGGGGACACATGCCCAGGCTGGGCAGGGCCAGGAGCCACAGTGGGGGCTGCTGCTGCCTCTGCTGGAGACATGGGGGAGAAGGATGGTTAGAGATCTCACCATGGCATCTGAGACCTCTCCCATCTGGTCGTCTTGATCATTCTCCAAAGCTGCCTTCCTTGCCCAGTGAGTCCTGCCTTTAAGCTGGTCAGAGCCCTGAGACATCCCTCACCCCGACCCAAGTCAAGATTTCCTTCCCCAGGATGCCCTTAGATAAACCATCCCCCAGGCTCACCCTCTACATCTCTCCAGGTTCCTGCCCATGATCTGTCTTGCTCTGCTACTCTCATCATTCTTCCCTCTAAGACCCTCTCTTTCCCTTTCTGACCATTTAACAAACACTAATTTGGTGCCAGAACAACGTTATCAGGCACGTTCCAGATGCTTTGCAAGTATTCACTCATTCAATCCACATGACCACCTGTGGGGTTGACATGATCCCCATTTAACAGATGTGGAAATTGAGGCCCAGCAAAGGCCCAGTGTGATCTGCCCAAGTCATACTACTAGGAAGGGACAGGCTGACTCCGGAGCCCATGCTCCAAATGACGGCCCTGACCTGTCTCCCTCTGGCCTGTCTCTCCATCTCGTGTTATCTTTCTCTGACACTGTCTGTTCCCTTGTCTCCCACTTCCCAGCCTTCTTCCCACCTCAAGTAGCTCCTGCCTTCCTCCAGTCATTCTAGACATGAAAAGCTTTCCAGATTATTCCAGTCCCTCAGCCTGGCTCCCTCCACTCGGAGTCTGTTCTCTGTCCTCTGGGAGGAAACCTGACCTCCCCACTCAGCAGGAGAGGCAGGCTCTTCAAGGTCAGGGCTCCCCTCATCCCTGCCAAACCACAAACACACACCTATCCTCCTACCAGGGCCTCCCTGAGCTGCGGCCTGAAATCCACAGAGATTGAACTCAGGCCCAGAGAGATCCTCCCAGAAGGACATCCCCCTGTGCTGCTTCTCCCATTGTCCAGGGTGACACAATGGGGCATCTACGCAGGCCTGGCCCAGGACAGCAGAAACAGCCCAGGACAGGTTGGAACCAGGAAACTACCTGTGCCCCTACTCAATGTGTGACCCCAGGAAGTCCCCTCCTCTCTCTGGGCTCCAGTCTGCCAACTAGAAACTCAGGTATACATCTCAATGCTACCTCCCAAGCCTCCGAGAGGATCATTTTAGGTAGTGAATGTTAAATGTTTTGGAATCCAACAAAAGCGTGGCTGGGTGTAGTGTCTCATGCCTATAATCCCAGCACTTTGGGAGGGCGAAGTGGGCAGATCACTTGAGTCCAGGAGTTCAAGACCAGCCTTGCCAACATGATGAAATCCTGTCTCTACTAAAAATGCAAAAAAAAAAAAAAATTAGCTGAGCATGGTGGCACATGCCTGGGATCCCTGCTACTTAGGAGACTAAGGCAGGATAATCATTTGAATCTGGAAGGCAGAGGCTGCAGTGAGCTGAGATCACAGCATTGCACTCCAGGCTGGGCGACAGAGTGAGACTGTCTAAAAAAAAAAAACTTAGCTGGGCGTGGTGGCAGGCACCTGTAATCTCAGCTACTCAAGAGGCTGAGGCACACGAATCACTTGAAACCAAGAGGCAGAAGTTACAGTGAGCCAAGATCACACCACTGCACTCCAGCATGGGTGACAGAGACAGACTGACTCAAAAAAAAAAAAAACTGTTCTTTTTTTTCCCCTTACAATCCAGGATCCAATTCAGGATCGCATCTTGCATCTATTAATACCTGTCAAATCTCATCAGTCTCCTTTAATTGGGATCAGTTCCCAACGGTAAATTCTTTGTAAATTCTAAGCAGTGTTCTCCCAAGAAACTTAAATAAGAATTCACAGTAAAAAAATAATAATAATAATAATAATTATATGGTGACTTGAGACATACATACAATTGTATTTTAAACACATATACAGTTTTGTAACTTACAAAGTGTTTACCATTTACCTAGAAAGTTGCTTTTACCAAGTATGTTTCAAATTTTCTTAATGGCAATCCAGAATAAGAGATACTTTTTATATGGTAACTTTTTTTTTTTGAGTTGTGTTGTGTTGGCCAGGCTGATCTTGAACCCCTGACCTCAAGTGATCTGCCCGACTCACCCTCCCGAAGTGCTGGGATTACAGGCGTGAGCCACTCTACATGATAACCTTTTACACACACACACACACACAGACACACAAACACAAACACACACACATTCTCACTCAAAAGTATCATTAAGTTATATTTAATCCTTATGCCATTCAATATACCCTGATATTTTCTTTTCTTTTTTTTTTGAGGTGAGGCCTCACTCTTTCACCTCAAAAAGGCTGCAGTGAAGTGGGGTGATCTCAGCTCACTGCAACCTTCACTTCTCGAGTTCAAGCAATTCTCCTGCCTCAGCCTCCTGAGTAGCTGGAATTACAGGCATGTGCCACCATGCCTGGCTAATTTTTGTATTTGTAGTAGAGACGGGATTTCACTATGTTGGCCAGGCTGGTCCCAAAATCCTGACCTCAGGTGATCTGCCCACCTCAGCCTCCCAAAATGCTGGGATTACAGGCGTGAGCCACTGCACCTAGCCTCTCTGATACTTTGATTCTCTATTTCATTGTTTTAAAATTAAATGATTTTTTTTTGAGACAGAGTCTCTGTCTGCCACCCAGGTTGGAGTGTGGTGGCGTGATCACGGCTCACTGTAGCCTCTACCTCCTGGGCCCAGGTGATCTCCTGCCTCAGCCTCCTGAGTAGCTGGGACTATAGGTTGCACCACCATGCCTGGCTAATTTTTAATTATTAGTAGAGACAGGGTTTCCCTATGTTGCCCAGGTTGATTTCATTTTTTAAAATGCCAGCCAAATGGGCTGGGCCTGGTGCTCCACCCCCAAAATACCAGTGCTTTGGGAAGCTGAGGTGGGAGGATCGTTTGAGGCCAGGAGTTTTGAGACCAGCCTGGGAAACACAGCAAGATTCCATTTCTACAAAAAATAAAAATAAAAAAAATTAGCCAGATGCCGCGGCACATGCCCATATTCCCAGCTACCTGGAGGCTGAGGCAGGAGGATTACTGGAGCCCAGGAGTTTGAGGCTGCAGGGAGCTGTGATAGTGCCGCTGCACTCCAGCCTGGGCGACAGAATCAGACCTCAACTCAGAAAACAAAACAAAACAAAAAATGCCAGCCACAGTGCAGCAAATTGGCTTCACAGGTCTTGATACACAGGTTGAAGCCTTGAGAAGGTCGGGTGTGGTGGCTCACACCTGTGATCTCAGCACTTTGGGAGGCCAAGGAGGGCAGATCACCTGAGGTCAGGAGTTTGCGATCAGCCTGGCCAACATGGTGAAACCCATCTCTACTAAAACTACAAAAAATTAGCCGCGCCTGTAATCCCAGCTACTCAGGAGGCTGGGGCACAAGAATCGCTTGAATCCAGGAGGCGGAGGTTGCAGTGAGCCAAGATCACACCACTGCGCTCCAGAGCAAGACTCTGTCTCAAAAAAACCTTAAAAAAAGAAAAGCCCCGAGAAGCCCTGATTGGCAGACAGTAAACCACTTGGTGCACCCTTACAATACTGCCCAAAGAACTCCTTCCATGGAAATTGCTTATTTATTTATTTATTTATTTATTTTTTGAGACAGAGTCTCACTCCATTACCCAGGCTGGAGTATAGTAGTGCGATCTCTGCTCACTGCAGCCTCCACCTCCCAGGTTCCAGAGATCCTCCCGCCTTAGCCTCCCGAGTAGCTGGGATTAGACATAGGCCACCATGCCCAGTTAATTTTTGTATTTTTAGTAGAGACGAGGTTTCATCATGTTGCCCAGGCTGGTCTCAAACTTCTGACCTTAAGTGATCCACTCACGTTGGCCTCCCAAAGTGCTGGGATTATAGGCAGGAGCCACGGTGCCTGGCCCAAAGCATGCCCTGCTTTGTAAACTGTTGTGTCCCTGTAGCTCTGCAGTCCCTACTCCGACACTGGGTCCCATGTGCCCACTCTGTGACCTGACGGTGCTCAGGGCAGCACCCACCTTTCTTCTTGTCCGGGGCCTCTCGCTCCGCGGGCCGCCCACCCCCAGACAGACGGAAGGAGCCCTCGCGGGCAAAGCTGGTGCGGCTGGCATCGAAGGCGGCCGTGACCCCACATTCCTTCTCCCGTCGCTGTTTTCGCTCCAGGCAGGCGGCAAAAGCACAGCCCACAGCGTGGCTCAGCCTCTCGCCCTGTGGGGAGAGGATGGGCGGGGGTTCAAGGCGCTGTGCAGTGCAGCCGGGGGCCAGGGTTGCTGGGTTACAGCCACTAGGTGCTGGGTCACCCCGGATGAGTCCCTGCACTTCTCTGGGCCTCAGTGCTCATCTGTACCATGAGAAAAGCCTGGAAATGACAGCTCCAAGTGAAAGAAGCCAGAAACCAACAAGTGGCTGTTGCATGGCTCCACTTACCAGAAATTCTAGAAGAGGCAAAACTAATCTATGGTGAAAAACGTCAGAACAGACCAGGAGTGGTGGCTTTCATCTGTAATCCTAGCACTTTGGGAGGCTGAGGTGGGAGGTTGGCTTGAGCCCAGGAGGTTGAGGATGCAGGGAGCTATGACTGCGCCTCTGTATTCCAGCTTGGGCAACAGAGTGAGACTCTGTCTCAAAAAGAAGTCAGGCCAGGCACAGTGGCTGACACCTGTAATTCCAGCACTTTGGGAGGCCAAGGCGGGTGGATCAGGCTGTTAGGAGTTCAAGACCAGCCTGGCCAAGATGGTAAAACCCCATCTCTACTAAAAATACAAAAATTAGCTGGGCATGGTGGCAGGTGCCTGTAATCCCAGCTCTCAGGAGGCTGAGGCAGAGAATTGCTTGAACCCAACAGGCAGAGGTTGCAGTAAGGTGAGATCGTGCCACCACACTGCAGCCTGGGCGACGGAGCAAGACTCTGTCTCAAAAAAAAAAAAAAGTCAAAAGAGGGGTGGGGAATGACTGAAAAGGGTATGAGGGGCTGACTGGGTGGTGGCAATGTTCTAGATATTATTGGGGGTTTGGGTACATGGGTGTATGCGGCTGTCCAAATTCATTGATTGCACACTGAAGGCTTGTGCACAGCATTGCTATGGACTAAATGTGTGTGTTTCTCTCAGTTCAAATGCTGAAGACCTCACCCACAGTGTGCTGGTATTTGGAGGTGGGCCTTTGGGAGATGAAAGCTATGTCAGATCATCAGGTGGGGTCCTCATGAGGGAATCAATGCCCTTATTTATTTATTTCTATTTTTCTGGGACAGGGTCTCACTTTGTGAGACCCAGGCTGGAGTGCAATGGCATGACCTCAGCTCACTGCAACCTCCACCTCCTGACTTCAAGCAATTCTCCTGCCTGCCTCAACCTTTCAAGTAGCTGGGATTACAGGCGTGCGCCATCACACCTGGCTGGCTAATTTTTGTATTTTTAGTAGAGACGGGATTTTATGATGTTGACGAAGTTGGTCTCGAGCTGCTGACTTCAAGTGATCTACCTACCTCGGCCTCCCAAAGTGTTGGGATTACAGGCGTGAGCCACTGCACCCGGCCAGGATTAGTGCCCTTATAAAAAAAAGAAAGAGGCCAGATGCAGTGGCTCACACCTGTAATCCCAGCACTTTGGGAGGCCAAGGTGGGGGGATCACAAGGTCAGGAGTTAGAGACCAGCCTGGCCAACACAGTAAAACCCAGTCTCTATTAAAAATAGAAAAGTTAGCTGGGCATGGTGGTGGGCACCTGTAATCCCAGCTGCTCAGGAAGCCGAGGCAGGAGAATCTCTTGAACTTGGGAGGTGGTGGTTGCAATGAGCCCAGATCATGCCACTGCACTCAAACCTGGGTGACAGAGCAAGACTCTGTCTCAAAAAATAAAAAAGAAGAGAAAGAGACATGAGATCTCCCCTCCACCCTGCCAGGTGAGGATACAGAAAGAAGGCATACATCTGCAAATCAGAAAGAGAGCCCTCACCAGGAAATGAACCATTTGGCACCCTGACCTCAGGCATGCAGCCTCTGGAACTGTGAGAAACCAGTGTTTGTCATTTAAGCCACAACGTCTATTTGGTTACAGCAGCCTGAACTAAGACAATCATATATTTCACTTTGCAGAAAAAAAAGAATCTGGAAACAAATACAAATTCTACTTAATGATGTGCATGCTGAAGTATGGTGGGGGAAGTAGTCTGATGCCTAAACATTTGACATACAAAAAGAATCAGATGGTCTGGGCACAGTGGCTCACACCTGTAATCCCAGCACTTTGAGAGGCCGAGGCAGGCGGATTACTTGAGGCCAGGAGTTCGAGACCATCCAGACCAACCTGGCGAAATCCTATATCTACTAAAACTACAAAAATTAGCCTGGCATGGTGGTGTGCACCTGTAATCCCAGCTACTAGGGAGGCTGAGGCAAGAGAATCACTTGAACCCAGGAGGCAGAGGTTGCAGTGAGCCAAGATCATGCCACTGCACTCCAGCCTGGGGTGACAGAGCAAGATTCCATCTCAAAAAAAAAAAAAAAAAGGAATGAACTACTGATAAAGTGGCTCATGCCTGTAATCCCAGCACTTTTGAAGGCCAAGGCGGGTGAATTGCTTGAGTCTAGGAGTTCAAGCAGCCTGGGCAACATGGCAAAACCCCATCTCTATAAAAAATACAAAATTAGCTGGGCATAGTGGTATGTGCCTGTAGTCTCAGCTATTCAGGAAGCTGAAATGGGAGAACTGCTTGAACCCAGGTTGCAGTGAGCCAAGATCACACCACTACACGTCAGCCTGGGTGACAGAGAGAGACCCTATCTCATTTAATTAATTAATTAATTAATTAATTAAAAACATTGCCAGGTGTGGTGGCTCAAGCTTATAATCCCAGCACTTTGGGAGGCCAAGGCAGGCAGATCAACTGAGGTTAGGAGTTCAAGACCAGCCTGACCTACATGGAGAAACCCCCATCTCTACTAAAAATACAAAATTAGCTGGGCATGGTGGATTACACATGCCTGTAATCCCAGCTACTGGGGAGGCTGAGGTAGGAGAACTGTTTGAACCCAGGAGGCAGAGGTGTGAGCCGAAATTGCACCATTGCACTCTAGCCTGGGCAACAAGAGTGAAACTTTGTGTCAAAAAAAATTACACTAAATGAAAGAAGCCAGACTTATATGATTCCAGTAAATGAAATATTCAAAACAGGTATATCCATAAGGACAGAAAGCAGATTAGCGGTTGCCAGAGGGCTGGGGTAGGGGTGACAGGGAGTGAATTGCCTAATGAAGATGGGGTCTCCTTTAGGGGTGATGACAATGTTTCAGGACCACATAGAGTCGATGGTTAAACAACACTGAAAATGTATTAAATGCCACTGAATTGTACACTTTTATTTATTTTTTTTTTTGAGACGGAGTTTTGCTCTTGTTACCCAGGCTAGAGTGCGATGGCGCGATCTCGGCTCACTGCAACCTCCGCCTCCTGGGTTCAGGCAATTCTCCTGTCTCAGCCTCCCGAGTAGCTAGAATTACAGGCACGTGCCACCACGCCCAGCTCATTTTTTGTATTTTTAGTAGAGACGGGGTTTCCAGGGTGGTCTCGATCTGTTGACCTCGTGATCCACCCGCCTCGGCCTCCCAAAGTGCTGGGATTACAGGCTTGAGCCACCGTGCCTGGCCTGAATTGTACACTTTTAAATGATTCATTTTATGTGAATTTCACCTCAAGGAAAAAAAAAAAAGGTGAACTTGGGGAATCCTGGGAATTCCACTGCTTAATGCTTAGAACTTCCTGTTTCCTCAGAAGTAGGATGAGTTCATCCAATCGCACTCTTTACCCAGAGGAGATGGGCCTGCTCTTTTCCGGCTTTCATTCTCATCCCAAAATAGTTTTTTGGAGTTTTTTTGCTTTTTTGCTTTTTTTTTTTTTGAGACAGAGTCTTGCTCTGTCATCCAGGCTGGAGTGCAGTGGTGCAATCTTGGCTCACTGCATCCTCCGTCTCCAGGGTTCAAGGGATTCTCCTCTCAGCCTCCGGAGTAGCTGAGATGACAGGCGTCTGCCACCACACCCAGCTAATTTTTCGTAGTTTTAGTAAAGACAGGTTTTCACCATGTTGGTCAGGCTGGTCTCGAATTCCTGACCTCAGGTGATCTGCCCGCCCCAGCCTCCCAAAGTGCTGAGATTACAGGCATGAGCCATCGTGCCTGGCCAATACTATTTTTTTTTTTTTTGAGATGGAGTCTCACTCTGTTGCCCAAGCTGGACTGCAGTGGCGCAATCTCAGCTCACTGAGACCTCCGCCTCCCAGGCTCAAGTGATTTTCCTGCCTCAGCCTCCTGAGTCGCTGGGACTACAGGCATACGCCACTACACCTGGCTAATTTTCTGTATTTTATTAGAGATGGGGTTTCACCATGTTGCCCAGGGTGGTCTTGAACTCCTGAGTTCAGGCAATCTGCCCGCATCAGCATCCCAAAGTGCTGGGATTACAGATGTGAGCCACCTCACCCGGCTGTCACATGAATACTCTAAACTGGGAACTGTGAATATACCCTCTTCTCCAGATGAGGAAACTGGACACACAGAGGTGAGTGACTTGCCCGAATGCAGGAAGCTTGCTGGGGTGGGGCTGGGATGCCAGGGCATGGGAGGAAGAGTCAGCCAGCTGTGGCAATACTCACAGAGTCCTTGAGCGCCAGAAAACAGTGGCAGATCCAGCGGCGAGTGGTCCCGTCACGGCAGATGTAGGAGAAAGCCTTGTCCAGGTTGCGGTCAGGAGCACAAAAGGAGACCTTTTCAATGGTCTGGTCGACCAGAAGATCCTAGGAGGGGCCAGGGAGGCCAGGAGAAGAGTGTGAACTGTCTTTCAAGTGTCCACTCAACGTTCTCTGTGTCTGCTGAAATCTCGTCCTGAATGGGGTGGGGACCCAGCAGTCACCGAGACACCCCCTGTCCTGCCTGCAGAGGGCTCCCAGATCAGAGGGAAGATCAGACCCATCATGAGATGGGCAACCCAGAGTCACAGCCAGGCTGTGATGAAGGAGGCCCAGGCAGAGGTGTCAGGGCCTGGACTGGGGAGGCACAGGCACAGGGGCCAGGGCCAGATGGCAAAAGCCAGCTTGGGGTCAGTCAGAGAAGGCTTCCTGGAGCAGGTACTAACTAGGAAAAAAAGTCAAGGAACAGTATTTTGGGCTGAGGGACTGCTGTGCAAAGGTGGTGATCTTGTTGTCAACCCAACTTGCAGCATGTCCTGGGTACCTCCTGGGGCAGCCTCTGGGGTGGGGGCAGGGGATTCAAGGTGAGCAAACCGACACCCACATCGTGGCCTCATAGTGCTTCCTTCTGGCTGGGCAGGGTGACACTAAACACTTAATGGCTAACATTCATTGATCTGAGCAGTTACAATGTACAAGACCCCATTTAAATAAATTTTTTTTTTCAGATGAAGTCTTGCTCTGTCACCCAGGCTGGAGTGCAGTGGCGTGATCTCGGCTCACTGCAACCTCCGCCTCCCAGGTTCAAGCAATTCTCCTACCTAAGCCTCCCAAGGAGCTGGTATTACAGGCACATGCCACCACGTCCGGCTATATTTTGTTTTTAGTAGAGGTAAGGTTTCACCATGTTGGCCTCTCGAACTCCTGACCTCAGGTGATCTGCTCGCCTCAGCCTCCCAAAGTGCTAAAATTACAGCCATGAGCCACTGTGCCCCGCCCATATTTTAAAATTTCTTAAAATTATTTTGTATAGACAGAGCCTTGCCATGTTTCACAGGCTGATAGTGAACTCCTGGCTTCAAGGGGTGCTCCCAGCCAGGCACCAGTTCAAATAACTGCATATACTTTCTCATTTAATGGTAGGGTCTATTATAATCCCTATTTTTATTTTTTTGAGACAGAGTTTCATTCTTGTTGCCCAGGCTGGAGTGCAATGGCACAATCTCGGCTCACTGCAACCTCTACCTCCCGGGTTCAAGCTATTCTCCTGCCTCAGCCTCCCAAGGAGCTGGGATCACAGGCACCTGCCACCACATCCAGCTAATTTTTTCTATTTTTAGTAGAGATGAGGTTTCACCATGTTGGCCAGGCTGGTCTCAAACTCCTGACCTCAGGTGATCCACCCTCCTCAGCCTCTCAAAGTGCTGGGATTATAGGCATGAGCCTTCAGCTGGGATTGGAGCTGAGGCAGCTGCTCCTGTCTCTCTCACCCACAACCTATGCCAGTTCCCAAATAATCACAGCACTTATTCCTGAGTTATGACGTCGGAGGGAGCATGCGGCATCGTCTAGAAGGTCCCTGAGGGAGCGATGTGCAGAGGAGGCAGGAAGGTGTCCTCAGCCCCCATTCTAGCAGGTGAGCAGACAGGCCCCCAGCGTCCACCCCACAGGCCCCTACCTTGGTCTTGTCATCTACCACTCGGAGCCCATCGGCTGACACCCACAGGACAGACTTCACGGACTTTCGGCCCATCTGCGGGGAGGCAGGGGGACAAAGGAGCCAGGTCAGAGCACCTCTCCCTGTCTGACCTTGCTCCCTCCCTCGCCCCAGCCCCCTCACTCACCGCCTTCAGCTTCTTCACTGCATCTTCACACACGTGCATCCCCCGGGACTCCTCCACCTCCACATGGCCCAGGTACTTGGGTTGGAGGGAATGGGGGGACACGAAACAGCACAGTAATCACTCATTCTCAGCGTTCACTGAGCATCTGCCACGCAGCAGGCAATATTCTAAGCACATACGTGTATGCAATCATTTGTTCTGCACCACAGCGCTACAAGGTGGAGACCCCATTCCTAGTGTAGACACGCAGATGAGGAAACATGCACAGCACGCAGCAGTGATTCCGGTCTATCTAGCTATACCTCTGGGCCCGGCTCTGTGGTCCTCCCGTGAGCCAGTATTTGCATCTCTGCACCTGAGGACTGGCCCCGGGCCACGCAAAGCTGCTCTGCCCACCCTAAAGCGGCTAGAAAGAGCCTGGGCCAGTCCCCATAGTGACTGATGGGAGTTAGGGTACCTGAGCTCCCGCTCCCTCACCTGCAGGTGGGATGACTACTGCCTCGAATTCCCCAGGGGAAGGCAGTTGCACACAGCTGTAGTGTTATTTTTTATTTTTTATTTATTTATTTTTATTTTTGAAATGGTGTCTCACTCTGTCACCAGGCTGGAGCACAGTGGCACAATCTCGGCTCATCGCAACCTCTGCCTCTCGGGTTCAAGTGATTCCACTGCCTCAGCCTCCTGAGTAGTGGGGATTACAGGCATGCACCACCACACCCAGCTCTTCTTGTATTTTTAGTAGCAATGGGGTTTCACCATATTGGTCAAGCTGGTCTCGAACTCCTAACCTCAGGTGATCTACCTGCCTTGGCCTCCCGAAGTGCTGGGATTACAGGCATGAGCCTCCGCACTGCACCCAGCCCACAGCTGTAGTTTTAATAACACACCATTTACAGGCTGCCTTACTTTCCTTACTCCCAACACCATCTCCTGCACCTCCCAAATGAAACGGTCACACTCAGAGTCTGCTTCCGGGGCAAGGGAACACAAGGTAGGGGAGGGGCTGTGACCATGGTCAGTCATCACTCAGCCAGAAGGGGCTGAGCTCCACAGTCCACGCCGTGAATCCTGCTCTCCCTCTCATAAGAGTGTCAAAGCGTAGGGTATGGCTAAGCCAGGACGCTCTTAATAGCAGAGCGCATTGCAAATGCTATGCATGGCATGACGGCTTCCAGGTCATACTTTGCTGGTACCAGAAAATGTGTCTAGGTTTTTTGCTTGTTTTCAAGATCAAGCATCACTCTGTTGCCTGGGCTGGAGTGCAATGGCACAATCAAGATTCACTGCAGCCTAGACCTTCCTGGACTCAAGTGAGCTGCCGGTCTCAGGGACTACAGGTGTGTGCCACTGTGCCTGGCTAGTTTTTGTGGAGACAGGGTCTCCCAGTGTTTGCCCAGGCTGGCCTCGAACTCCTTGGTTCAAGCAATCCTCCCGCTGCAGCCTCCCAATGTGCTGGGATCACAGGTATGAGCCACCATGCTTCAAAGGTTTTGTTCCTTTTTTTTTGAGACAAAGTCTTGCTCTGTTGCCCAGGCTGTAGTGCAGTGGCACGATCTCAGCTCACTGCAACCTCTGCCTCCAGGATTCAAGTGATTCTCCTGTCTCAGCCTACCAAGTAGCTGGGACTACAGGTGCCTGCTACCATGCCCAGCTAATTTTTGTATTTTTAGTAGAGACAGGATTTTGCCATATTGGTCAAGCTGGTCTCAAACTCCTGACCTTAGGCGATCTACCCACCTTGGCCTCCCAAAGCGCTGGGATTACAGGCACGAGCCTCCGTGCCTAGCCGGACTCACAGTTTTTATTTTTATTTAATTTATTTATTGAGACAGAGGCCTGCTCTGTCGCCCAGGCTGGAGTGCAGTGGCGCAATCTCGGCTCACTGCAACTTCTGCCTCCTGGGTTCAAGTGATTCTTGTGCCTTCAGCCTCCTGAGTTGCTGGGATTACAGGCACGCGCCACCACGCCCAGCTAAATATTGTATTTTTAGTGGAGATGGGGTTTCACCATGTTGGTCAGCCTGGTCTCGAACTCCTGACCTCGTGATCCACCCGCCTCGGCCTCCCGAACGGCTAGGATTACAGGCATAAGCCACCAAGCCTGGACACCTCATGGTTTTTAATACCAACTTCAAATGACTTGAGCTCGTGCCCCACCCCCCTCAGCCCACTCACCCTGACCGGGAAGCTGCACGTGCCCTTGCGAACCGCATCCTCATCCGCCTGCCACTGGTGCGGGCGCGACGCCTCGGGCACGTAGGCTGGCTTCCTCCGCCTTAGGCTCTGCCGTAACTTGTTCATGGTGCCCGCCCCGTCTGGTAACACAGGACCGTGGTGTGGGTCAAGGGCCGGGTGGGGAGAAGAAGGTGTGGAGCTCCATGGGGAGGGACCAGTGCTCAGGGAACATGGGGTCAGATAACAAGATCACTGGAGGCAGGATTACAGGGTCACTCCGAAGGCACACCTGGGATCAGCAGCTCAAGTCAGGGGACACCGGGAAAGGAGCCAACAGAAGGCAGGGGAGTGCAAGAGCTGGGCACTGGGGATTCAGAACCATGGCACTAAGGCGCATGGAGGTCTGGGGTCAAGGGGTGTGGGACACGTGTTTCAGGGCATTGGAGGGCTTCTTGTTCATGTGGTAGACTTCCTCACTTCCTCATTCCCAGGACCATGAGGATCCAAAGGATGGGAAGTCAGACACAGGAGGGTATGGGGGTTGGAGGGCACAGGGGTCAGGCGCCACAGGTCAGGGGTTTTCGGGGTGTGAGAGTCAGGCAGTGGGGTGATCAGAGGGCAGCAGAGGAGCTGGGAATTGCATGGGTCGGGGATGCAGCAGTCAGGTGCAGGGAGTGTGGGCATGGGGGATGGTGGCTTGTCTCTGGAACTCTGAGACACAGCCACTGTGTGACAACTGTATCTAATCCCCAGGCAAGGCTTCTGGGTCCCTGTACCCACAACTCTCAGAGGCAGGGCTGTGGGTCTGTGGAGTGGACGTGGAGGCAGCCAGTCACTAGGACAGTCTTCACTGACTGATCAGCCATTCTGACAGTCCCAGGACTAGGAACACCAACAGTAGAGGGGGACTCGTGTGTGAGTGTGAGCTGGTGTGCAGTGCGATGCTCTGGACCACCGTCTGTGGATCTGTATCTGAGCATGCAACCTCTGTGAGTGTATTTCTGGAGGCTGTGTAGAGAACGCATGTCTGAGGACGGCGTATGACGGTGTGCATCTGTGAATGCTGTCCGTGAGACGCATCCAAGTGTGGTTGTTGTCTGTGACTCTGAGTCCCTGACGGTTGTTGCTGAACAGCACTGATGCCCAAGAGTGGCTGTGAGTGTGAATGTCTGATGTCTGTATCCAAGGGTGTCGTTGTTGTCTGTGACAGCTTGTGACTCAGTGCCTGTTGCCTGTGAGGGTGTGTCTGTTTGAGCAGGAGGCTGTGGCCTTTGAAAGGGTGTGCCCCTGGCTGTTATCCATGCAGCTATGCCTCTGTGTGAAGGTGTGGCTATTGTCTGTGATGACATTGCCTCTGAGAGTGTATCTGAGGGACCCACAAGACTGTCTGTGTCCAGGAGCACAGCTGTTGGGGGCCGTGGCTGCTGTCTTAGAGTGTGGGTGCATGGGTGTCGCACAGAGGGTGTATCTATGTGCCGTGGTGTATCCATGAGGGTGTGAGAACATGAGGCTGTCTCTGAGAGTGTGTTCACGAGTGTTATTTGTAAGGGTGCGACTGTTGCCTGAGAGAGTGCTGGCTGTTCTTGGTGAGACTGTTTGTGCAAACAGTCTCCTGGTGAGAGCCTGGGCCCGTGGGTGCCATCTTTGAAAGTGCAGCTGTGATCTGTAGAAGTGTGGGTCTGTGTGTGTGGCCAGACTGTGCAAGAGTGTGTCTTGAGTGTGCATCTCAGAGTCTGTATCCAACGAGCTTCTGTGGCCAACCTTGAGTCTGGGTGTTGTCCCAGACTCCCAGTGTGTGGATATGTGTGTGTGTGTACTAGTGTGATGAACATCTACTTGAGCACGTGTTCGAGTGTCACTGCATTAGCAAGTGTGGGTGATCTGAAAGAGATCATCTCCCTGTGTGTGTGTGTCTAACCATATGTCTACAGATGTGAGCGTCTGAGTGTGACCCTGCCCCTGAGGCTGTAAGGGTGTCAGGGTGTGCGTCTGTGCATGAGTGGGGCTCTGACAGTCGCTGAGGAAGATGCCTGAGGGTGTTCACTCATGAATGGGAGTAAACCTGTGTGACCGCAGGGACAGCTCCTCTGGCTGTGCTAGGCAAGACCACATACCCATTCAGCGCTGCCCTATCCCAGGCTGGTCACTCACCTGGCTCCGTCCTGCAGGTTTCTGGGGGCCCCGGGGCCCCACAGGGGGCTGGGGGCAGATGCCGCTCAGGCCTCCGGGGTCCGCCCTGCCCGAGTGGGGGAAGAGAAGGTGAGAAGTCTGTCTGGGGTGGGGCTCGGTCCAATACCTCACCCCCACTTTGGTCTTCAGCCAGCCCCCTCCATCTTGGGCTCCCTGATGAGAGTCCTAGTTGTCCTAGTAACTGTTACCAGGGAAACCAGCCACCTGGTTCCAAGGGCCCAGGAAGGAGTAGGTATGTTTGCGGGGCATACGCTGGGGATGTGCTGGCCTCAGGAGAACCTCACTGCCCAGGGGCCTAGATGCATGTCCAGGGCTACACGCGTATGGAGCCAGCTTGTATCTACAGGTGTCCCTAGCATCCAGCCACAGCTCTTCACACTTGGTTACACACAGACACAATCACAGCTACACACCTCAGATCACACAGATACACAGAAACAGTCACAGCCCCAGAAAGCTGCCAATGTAAATAAACATCTGGCCACAAATTCATGTTCAGACACATAACTGTCTCTACTACAGACATTTGTCCACATACATGGAGCGTGTCCCGGCCTGCTTAGTCCCCACCACAAACACCTGACCACACCACCCACTGAAATGTGGTTGCTTCCACATTCTCAGCCACATACAAAGAACGGGGCCTAGACACACCCACTAGAGCCGCACATGCACGGCCACACCCAGTGACAGCTATGTTTCCTCAGGCACCCACCCAAGAAACTGACGTCACAGGCCCACCCAGATAGGATCTCACCCAGAGTTCACCCATTTGGTGACCCCGTCCCACAAAGACACAATCGCAGCTATATGCACTTGTCACACGTCTCTCCACTCCTGCACACTGACATCTGGTCACAGATGCACATGGACAGATACACAGTTGGTCCCACAGAGACCACACACAGGCACAGCTGCACATGGACATGAAGCTTCAACCAGACCAGTCACACCAACACACTGTTTTGGCCACACACTGTCACATGGCCTCACGTAAGCAGTCAGAGGTGCTCACATCTGGTCACAGCACCATTCACACAGTCTATGTTGACAATCACATTCACAGGGACAGTCCCCTATACACAACCACACACGGAGGTTCTGATGGCTACAGCACACAACCACCCACAAACAACTGTCCCCAAAGATGGCACCCTCAGACACAGCCATACACATTCCAGAGTGGTCCTTTGGCGTGGCCACAGCATTAGTGTCCACATGACCCAGCCACCTATCATGGTCATAATCCCATCACCCAGTGTCTCATACACAGCTGTACCATGTCACGCCAACACAGTGAAACATACAGCCTTTCTTCATTCAGGCACACGAGTCACAGAGACAAGTATGTGGCCACATGAACTCACAGCCCCATGTGGACAGGTGCACAAAGTCACAAGCCCCACCTACACACATATCTCACACACAGAGACACAGACACACAGTTTCAGTTTCCCATGTCACAAGTACACAGTCCAGTGTATGCACAGAAAAGCAGTGACCAGGACGTGGCATTTATAGCTGGGTTTACAAAGAAGATACAGGTCCTGATGGAGCCACGTGTAGTCAGGGGCCAATCTCTTCATCACCAAGTCACACATTCAAACACAGGTAGTCCAGCGTGCACACACACACACAGACGAAAAACAGGCACACAGCTACAGACCCCACACTCTCACAGACGATGACACAGACACAAGCAGATATAGTCACCCAGGCTCACAGACATGCAAGTCACATACAGGAATATAGTCACATCACACACACAGCCCTACAAACAATTTCCCGGCACCAGCAAGAGACTCAGCCATAGCTTTAGTCACACACAAATAAACCCTCTAAATAGCTAGGGTTTCAGACACCAAGTCAAATACATAACCCAAATCACACATAAAAGGTTAGAAATACACATAATCACACACAGCTAGATACAGTCATTTGTATTAATACAGTCCCGGCCGCACACTCAGACACGGTTCTGCATACGCACTGTCACACAACCCCAGCCACAAAGACACAGTGTGACTTCAGACACAATGGCAGTCACACAGGCAGAGTTGCACAGACAGGTGTGTGTCACTCATGTATATAAAATCAGGTAGAAACACAACTATAAACATTCTCAGTCACTGAGAGGGTCACACAGGCATACGGAGCCACAGACAACTCCACTCACACACAGTCACAACTCCACCCACGTCCTGTCAGTCACACACATGCCCACCCCCAGACTCAACACATACTGTCACATACCCAGTTATAGTTACTGAGGCATACAAACACAGGGTCACAAAAGACAATCACAGACAACCACAGTCACAACCATGCACACCTCCTGACACTAAAAAGTACAGAATTCTGCACCATGAGCAGCTGTCAGACACACAGACAGTCACACAAATACTAGGTTCACACACACAGGCACAATCATAGACACCACCACATACAACCACAAGCACACACACACAACCCAGGATTCCTCACAGTCACCAGCCGCAGAGTACGCATGCACACACACACACACACAACCACAGTCACACAACCACAGGGCACACTCCTAGCCACCTCCCCATCGTTTGCTTCCCCCCTTCCCCCCAGGTACCACACACAAAGCCGCCGTCACCGTCACCGCAGACGCTGCAGACAGACAGGGCTGCTCCGGGTCCCTGGGGAGCCGCCCCCAGCCCAGCCTGAATCCTGGAGCCTGGGGGGCCAGGTCAAGGAGGGGGAAACGGTACCTTGCCTGCGGGTGGGGCCACTCTTACACAGCTGGGCTGCCCTGGGGACAAAGGGGGTGGCCTAGGGGTTCCTGTGCCCTGGGACCCTTGACCAAGCCAAGGGGTGGAGGGGGTGGGGGTTGCCTGAAATTGTCCTTATTTTATTCAGGCTGGGGTGGGGTGGAGTTCCAGGCACAGGGACCTTGTTTGAGAAGGGGCTGTGCCTGGGACACCGCCCAAGGATTGGGGGGATGCTGTGCCCAGGGTGCCTCTGAGGCCTGGGGGCAGGCTGTGCTTGGAGTTCCCCCAGGCCTTGGCATGGTAGGAAAGCTGTATGCAGTGACCCCATCCTCGAGACTGTGTCTAGGGAGTTGTTGTGCCGAGATCCCCTCAGGCTGGGAGGGGTAGGGATTGTGTCTGGAATCGCCTCTTGGAGGCCTTGGTTTGATACGGGGGCTGTGTCCTGGACCCCATCTCCATCCCTATTCAGTTCTAGTTGTACTTAGAATCTCTGCACCCCTGTCCTTCATTTTGTGTCCAGGATTTCTATTTCCTGGGACTTGGCAAGAGATGGTACAGGGGTCTGTGCCCAAGACCCCCGTCTCCCGTTCTTTGGCTTGTTGGGCCTGTTCCTGGACCCCCACCCAGGACCACCCTCTCCAGCCTTGGCACCCTCCTTCCATCCGGGAGCCGCGGCCGCCTCCCACCCTCCGCCACATCAGCAGCGGCGCCGCCCGCGACCCGAGCCCCCCTCTCCCGCCCTTCTCACGCTGGCCGCCGCGCTGCGGGACATCCAGGGCCCGGGCGCCCCCGCCTCCCGCGGCCCTGGCTGGGTCTGGCTCCCGGACTGCTGCTGCTGCGGTGGCGGCGGCGGCAGCTCGGTCTGACGCGGGCCAGGGCCCGGGGCCGGGGGATGGTGCGGGCAGCACGCGCGCGAGCCTGCTCGGCTCCCTGGAGGATTCCGTTTCGGGGGCGGGGGAGCGTCCCTCGGCCTCGGCTCCCCGCCCCGGCCCCGCCCATTGGCCCGCCGCCTGCCGTATACGCAGAAAGGCCCCGCCCCGCCCCGGCGCCTCGCCGGCCCTGCCCCGCCCCTTGGACTGCAGACCCCGCCCCCACGCAGACATCGCCCCGCCTTCCCCGGCGCGGCCACCGCCCCGCCACGCCCATTGGCCGGTCCTGGGTTAAGCATGCCTGAGAGCCTCGCCGAGTGCTTCCCCGGGACCGTCCTGGCCTGGGCTCCTTTCCCCTCCGTGACCCCTGACCTCAGATCCCCTCCAGCTCCGCGTCGGAAAGAGTTGTTTCTGGAAGAGCCTTGCAGCCCCACACCCCCAAATCTTCCCGCTTACCCCATGGTTCCCCAGCCCGGCGGGGGCGGGCAGAAGCGGTGACGAGGCACTTTTTGCAAGGAAGGGGAGGGGGTACGAACAGACTAAGGCGTCCTGGTGCGCCATCGGTTCGGTTTTGGGAACGGGGGCGCCGGGCGGGGACCAGGGCGCGGTTCTGGCCGCTACGGCGCCCCCGCCGCCCCCTACGCCAGTCCTGTGGGTTTGGCAAAGCAGCTGGCAGGGGCATTAGGGCCCATTAGTAAAGGCGAGGTTGCCGGGAGCGAGCCTGCAGCTGAGAGGCACTGTGTGTGGGGGAGGCCTCAGCTGCCACAGCCCTTAGAGCAGGTGGTCAGCACGTGGGGGGGTGGAGAAGGGGAGAAGGAGGTTCCCGGCAACAGATGGCCCAGGCAGGGCTGCGGCTTTCAGACAAGGGGGTGTGGGGGGGCTGGCCATCTGCACCTGGAGGCCGCCTGCGAGCTCCTCCCCCTCTCCCCCCAACCCCAGCGCAGAGAAAAGAGCTGGGGGAAGGGGAAGGCTGCTTTTATTCCAACTGAAGGTTCAGCTCCCCCACCTCTACCCCTACCCTCCAACACATTGAGAGGCTGGAACCCGAGAGAAGGCAGCTGGTGGAGGAGCGAGGAAGGCAGAGGTGATGACTGCCTCCAGGACCACCATCTCGCCTTCTACCGGAGACCTGAGGCAGAGGTGAGGGCTCCCCCTGATGAGTCCGGATCTGCCTAAAGGCGTGCGGGGACCCAACACTCCCTCAAATGTTGCCAAAGATAAGTTAACCACTTCCCTGGCTTAGAGTTCCCGGATGCCCACTCTGGAGTGGGAAGGCGCAGGATCTAGGGCACGAAGTTGAGAGTTCCCCAGCCCCAGAGACCCTGAGCTCCTGGACCAAGGAGGGGAGCCAGGCAAGACTGGAAAGCCCAAGGGGGCTCCCCCGACCCAGGGCAGATGGGGAAGGGATAAGAGGCACCACAGCAGAGTATGGCCTGCAATGGGGACGCAATCCCCCCAGAGGCTGTCATGAGGGATCTGCCCTGGAGTCCCCTTTGATCGGGAGGCTGCCGGCAGTGGCTGTGTCTGGCTGGCGACTGGCCCAGTAGCGGTGGTAGGTGTCCTGGAAGAGGTCTCTGCAGGCGATGTGGGCTCGGAGGCGGGCACAGGCCAGGAAAGCCCCTGCTAGCTTGCGGTGCAGGGCATAGGTCTCCTCCGGTGGGGGGCACAGCCGGTGCCGCAACAGCACCGGGATGAAGTCCTGTACACGGCGGGCAGTTTCCCCGGACCCAAAGTCATAGGGGCCCTGGGTGGCGAAGGGCTCCCCCAGGATCATCACTGCCTCCACGTGGGCGTCGGAGAATGCCTGGGGGGGGTGGGGACAGCAAAGGCAGCCAGTGTGGACACAGAGCCCTCCACTTAATCCAGAAAGCAGCAACGGGCAGCCTCCACTCTCTCCAGCCTCCAACATCAACACAAGCCACGACTCCCCCAAGAGTGAGTCGCTTTGCCTCAAAATAGACAAGCAGCTCCCTATTCCCCAAGTAAGCCCCCCTCACTTCCTGGCACAGCCTCCAACAGACAAGTAGCCCTCTACTCTCTCTGCAACAAATAAGTAGCCCCCGCCCCTCCAGACCAGATCCATGGTGCCCATGTTCCCAGGATTCCTGAGGAGGCAGGCAGCCGCCTCCCCCTACTCCTCCCCAGAGCCCCAGCATGGGTAAGCCTCCCTCCTAGAGTCTCCCACTTCCCAAATAGAGACACACAACCTCCACTCTCCCTAGTGGAGACAAGCCCCTCCTAGAGTCCCCCAGTTCCCCGGGCATAAACATGCCCCATCCCCCACTTGAGTCCCTCAGTGGAGATAAGCAGCCCCCCACTGCACTCCACCAATAGACATCAGCCCCTTTCTCCCTGTGTCTCCCAACCTTGGTTTCAAAGCCTGTGAGGAATTTGAGGTCTCTGGACTTCTGTAGGACACGGTCTCGGTCTCTGTCAGCTGCAGCTTTTACCACCTGGGGAGAGTGTGGGAATTAGAGGGACAAAGGCCGGGTTGAAGGGGGCTCTGGAGAAGAGGAGCTGGAAGCTTAGGCCTCCCACGTACCCACCTCCATTCTCATCTGCCTGTCTGTGACTCCCTCAAAGACTGTTCCAGAGCCTGCGAGTGGAGGTGGTCAGGGATCCTGCCCACCTAGCCAGCAATATGGGGCCTGCCCGGGAACAGTCACAGTGAAACGGTGCAAGGAAGAAGTGTCAGGACTGTTCTTGGGTCCCAACACTCAACTGGATGGGTGTGAGCGTGGCCCAGAACTGCATCCAAAGTTGCCAGGGGCCACCTCTCTGTCTCCCGCACTGGACTCTGAGCCCCGTGAATGCAAGGATCCCAGCTGTGTGTAGTCGCACAGGGCACAGGGTCTGGCACTCAGGAGCCCCTGGGTGAACCTTGCTTCAGCAAATTCGCGTGTGGAGCAAAGCAGCTCTCCAGCCGTGAGCTCATACATGTGGGCAGGAGCTGTGGGCATGGACAGATATCCAGCTGGGGCCAGCTGGCTAGGGCCCCCTCCTGGCTCTGCCGCCTGCCGGCTGAGAGACTGAACAAGTCGAGTTGCCTGTTGGGCCTCCACTTTCTCATCTGTAAAGTGGAATAACGGAAGTGTCTTCCTCATGGGGTTGTTAGAAGCAAAAAGATGGTGATGCCCGTGGAGTGCCTGGTGCTGTTTCATGCAGGAAGCACCGTAAGTATTATGATCTACCACTATTAAGAGGCAGGCATGGGGGCATCCTTGTTTCACAGAAGGGGAAGCAGACCCGGAGTAGGGAGTAAAACCTGGGTCCCACCACTCACTAGGTTGCCCTTTTTTGTGAGGAGAGGTATTCAGGATTAATTCCATTCCCTTTCTGCTCCCCCTGCATGAGCCTGTCTGGCCATCTGTCAGGCCTGTGGTTCTCAGAGGCCAGTGTGATGGGGTTTTATAAACTGGCAAAGGTGGCTGGGCGCAGTGGCATAAGCCTGTTATCCCAGCACTTTGGGAGGCTGAGGTGGGCGGATCACTTGAGGACAGGAGTTCAAGACCAGCCTGGCCAAGATGGTGAAACCGTCTCTACTAAAATTATGAAAAAATTTGCTGGGCATGGTGGTGGGGGCCTGTAATTCCAGCTACTCAGGAGGCTGAGGCAGAGAACTGCGTGAAACCTGGGAGGCAGAGGCTGCAGTGAGCTGAGACTGCACAACTGCCCTCCAGCCCGGGAGACAGAGCGAGACTCTGTATCAAAAAAAAAAAAAAGGCCAGGCGTGGTGGCTCAGGCCTGTAATCCCAGCACTTTGGGAGACTGAGGCGGTCGGATCACCTGAGGTCGTGAGTTTGAGACCAGTCTGACCAACAAGGAGAAACCCCGTCTCTACTAAATTACAAAAATTAGCCAAGCATGGTGATGCATGCCTGTAATCCCAGCTACTCGGGAGGCTGAGGCAGGAGAATCGTTTGAACCTGGGAGGTGGAGGTGGCGGCGAGCTGAGATTGTGCCATTGCGCTCCAGCCTGGGCAACAAGAATGAAACTCTGTCTCAAAATAAATAAATAAATAAATAAACACACACTCCAGCCTGGGCAGCAAGAGTGAAACTCCATCTATAAACAAACAAACAAAGGGGTAGAAGGGGAGGTTATCAGTGGGGAGCAAGATGTCCCAGCTGCCCAAAGGCCTCGGCTTTGTGCCTCAATGGCCCATAGAGAGGGTCCCGTGTGTGTAGGGGGTAACCACCTCCTCCTTCCTGTTTGCTCAGAGCCCTGGACACCTCCTCCCCGACTTCCAGCCCATCTGCTCCCATGGAGTGTCTGGGCACCTCTCAGCCATCCCTCTGCCCCTCTCCACAGCTGCCCCAGGCTCCTGGCCCCCAGTCTTAGATGCCACTTCTTATTCAGAGGGAGTTTTCAAATTCTGACTGCATCCCCTCCCTGCTCAAATCCTTTCCATGGCTCCACAGGGCACTGGATACAGTGCGAGCTGCATAGTGGCTTCTAACATCCACAGTGATTGCTGCAGCCTCACACTGGCACCTGCTGCGCCCCCACCTGCCCTCCCAGTCAGAACAGGAGCTTCCTTTGGGTCATCTAGGGCCTTACTACTCCAAATGTGGTCCCCATATGGTAGCCCTGGCATCACCTGGGCACATCAGAAGGCAGCATCTCTTGCCCACCTCCAGACCAGAATCTGCACCTTCACAGGATGCCCAGGCTTCAGAAGCTCTGCCCTAATGGGAATATCCCTCATCACTGCCTGGCCTTGGCACATGTCTATTGGGAATACCCTCCAAACATTTTCCCAATTGGCCCCCCTCATCCCTCAGGTCTCAATGCTGGCACTTCCTCCTCCAGGAAGCCCTGTCTGGCTCCCCAGCCTAGGTCAGCCTCCTCCTCTGGGCTCACAGTCCTATGTGCTTCCCTCATCCCAGCCCTGTCCATGCTGGGTCCTCACTGTTGCCCCACTGGACTATAAATTCTGTGAGGAGGGGCCTGGGCTGAACCCAGGTCCCTGCTCTGTCTCCAGTTTTGCCTAGAATAGAGTTGGGGGGTCAGAAAACATTTAGATTGGCCGGAGAGGGGAGCTCATGCTTGTAATCCCACCACTTTGGGAGGCCAAGGCAGAAGCATCACCTGAGGTCAGGAGTTCAAGACCAGCCTAGGCAACATGGTGAAACCCCGTCTCTACTAAAAGCACAAAAATTAGCCAGGCTGGTGGCATGTGCCTGTAATCCCAGCTACTCGGGAACCTGATGCAGGAGAATTGCTTGAACCCAGGAGGTAGAGATTGCAGTAAGCTGAGATCCAGCCACTGCACTCCAGCCTAGGTGACAGAGCAAGACTGTCTCAATTTTTTAAAAAAAAAGGAAACTTAAAAAAAGTTTAGATTGATGGCTCGATGATTAGAGGACCCAGGGCAAATGTCCAATCTCAACAATTAATGAAATGGTGTTCTCTGCAGCCTCTAAGACAAACTGACCCCAGTGGGTGGGAAGACGGGCAAAATACATGAGAAGCACCTCCTACAGACAGAGTTTCCCCCAGGGACACACACCTAGGCTGGACACCAGGGCCATGGACAGTGCGGACTCTGGAGAGGTGACAGGATGGCCACTGTGGGCCTTTCTCTTAGGAGGGAGCTGGGCAGTGGTTGGAAGCTTGGGCTCTCGATTTGGACTACCTGAATTTGAATCCCAAGTCTGCTGTGATCTTGGGCAAGTAACTTAACTGCTCCAGGACCCAGTTACTTCATCTGTGAAGCAGGCCTAAAAACAGTCCTTACCGCACTGTGTTGCTGTGTGGTTTAAATCGGTTACTATACATAAGCACTAAAGATGCAGCCTAACAGAGTAAGTGCTTGGTGTGTGCTCGCTGCTAGGATACTACCATTATTTCTTATTTCTGAATTCTGGAAACTGCACTTCTCCTTCTTACTCCTCTGCCTCAGTATATGGCAAGAGCCTCAGCTTTTCAGAGACCCCAGGGTCTGGGGGAGACTCACCTCAATGTAATGGTCTGTGAACTCCGTCCCAAACTCCCGGCTTGCGCCAAAGTCCAGCAGGGTCACCTGGAAGCAAGGAATGGTGAAAGGAATGCTGGGATCCCATCCACATCCCCACTGTCTAGCAGTGCAGCCAGGATCAATCAACCTCCCACAACCCTGCCTGCTCCTGCCAGAGCCCCTGCCTGGCTGCCTCACTGGGCTCCTGGCCTGGTCTCCACATGTCCAACCGACCCCCAGACAGTAGCTGAAGGCATCTGGCTTTTATTTTTTTTAGCTCTAATTGTTTATGCAATAAACTTTAGGCCCAGAAAAAAAAATCCAGAGAAGAAAAGGTATGTAAAAGCAAAATAAATACCCACAAATCTTGCCACCCAGCATAAAATGTAAAATACTCTCCATCCACGTGGAGCCTCCTGTGTATCCCACCCTGATCACACATCCCCCAGGTCACCAGGGTCACCACTTTCCTGAAATCATTATTAAATTATGTCCTGAAATTCTCATTTATGCATTTCTTTCTTTTTTTTTTTTTGAGATGGTGTTTCGCTCTTGTTGCCCAGGCTAGAGTGCAATGAATGGCACGATCTCAGCTCACAACCTCCACCTCCCAGGTTCAAGTGATTCTCCTGCCTCAGCCTCCCAAGTAGCTGAGATCACAGGCATGTGCCACCACGCCTGGCTAATTTTGTATTTTTAGTAGAGATGGGGTTTCTCCACTTTGGTCAGGCTGGTTCCAAACTCCCAACCTCAGGTGATCTGCCAGCCTTGGCCTCCCAAAGTTCTGGGATTACAGGCGTGAGCCACCTCGCCCAGCCATTTCTGTATGTTCTATGTATGTGTACAGCTGGAAACAATGTAGAGTAATGGTGTCCGTATTTTCAGACTTCACAGAAGTGGTATTTACTACTGTTTTCCTGCAACTTGTGCTTTTTGCCCAACATGGTTTTGCAATGTGCCCCTGTTGCCATGTGTCGCTCCAGCTCAGTCACTCATTTGGCATTGCTGTGTATGGACTTCGTTGTGTGAATACATCACAGTGCATTTACGTGGCAGAGAAACACTGTGGTTGTTTCTGATTTTTTTTCCTTCTTTTAAAATGTCTATTAGTTACAAACTGTTTCTGACTTTTTTCTTTTTTGAGACACGGTCTTGATCTGTTGTCCAGGCTGGAGTGCAGTGGCTCAGCCATGGCTAACTGCAGCCTCGGACTCCCAAGCTCAAGTGATCCTCCCGCCTAAGCCTCCTGAGTAGCAGAGACTACAGGTGTACCCCACCACACCTGGCTAAGTTTTAAAATTTTTTTGTAGAGACGGTGTTTCACTACGTTGCCCAGACTGGTCTCGAACTACTGTGCTCAGTGATCCTCTTGACTGAGCCTCCCAAAGTACAGAGATTGCATTAACAAGTCATCTCACCTGGCCTGTTTCTAACTTTTGTGCTCAATGAACACCTGTAACACTGTTTCTAGGGCAGTAGAGTCTGAACAACCAACCAACCCACAGTAAGAAATTGTTTCTGCTGGTGCCTGGACGTGGTGGCTCACACCTGTAATCCCAGCACTTTGGGAGGCTGAGGTTGGTGGATCACCTGAGGTCAGGAGTTCAAGATCAGCCTGGCCAACATGGTGAAACCCCATCTCTACTAAAAATACAAGAAACTTGTCAGTAGTCAGACGTGGTGGGCACCAGTAGTCCCAGCTAATCGGGAGGCTGAGGCAGGAGAATTGCTTGAACCCGGGAGGTGGAGGTTGCAGTGAGTTGAGATTGTGCCACTGCACTGCAGCCTGGGCAGCAAGAGTGAAACTCCATCTCAAAATAAATAAACAAATAAAATTATATATAAAGAAATTGTTTCTACTAGGCATTCATGCAAATGCACACATAAATGTCAAACAAAACTGTCCCATAATAATACAGATCCCTCCCATCTGTGACGTACTGACATCTTCTATTCCATTAAAAAAAAAAGTGCTGTCAGAAACCAATCAATTGATGTCAGGACCCTACCACTTGCAGCTGGATAAACATATCCCTAGGGTGTGAGCCTAGGAGGGACACAGGGTGTGTGCACATTGTGGAGAAAGAAGGGGCAAGGGACTGAGGCTGGAGACTTGGCGGGGCCACAGATGCTCAGCAAAGGGCTCAGACTTGATTCTGAGGGGGCTGAGAAGCTGTGGGAGGGATATCTTGACCAGATTTGTGCTTTAGAAAGACCCCTCTGGAGACAAAATGGTGAAGACCTCTTTGGAAAGTCACTTGGCAACCCCTGACAAAGGTAAAGAAGTGTCCACTGATGCTCCAGTCTGCAGGTCCAAACCTTCACTCCAGGTCTCTGCACACCCGCTGCCCTCTGCCAGGAACACTCTGCTCTCTGGGTGGCTGTCTCTTTTTTCCTCAGTCTCAGCTTTTTTTTTTTTTTTTTTTGGTAAATAGAGTCAGGGGTCTCCCTTTGTTGCCCAGGCTGTTTTTAAATCCCTGGCCTCAATGGAGCCTCCTGACTCAGCATCCCAAAGTGCTGGAATTACAGGCATGAGCCACCATGTTCAGCCTCTGGTCTCAGCTTTTTTTTTTTTTTTTTTCTTTTTTTGAGACAGAGTCATGTTCTATCACCCAGGTTGGAGCACAGTGGCATGATCTTGGCTCACTGCAGCCTTGACCTCCGGGGCTCAAGCATTCCTCCCACCTCAGCTTCCCAAGTCACTGGGACCACTGGTCTCAGCTTGCACTTCTTTTAAGAAGTCTCCCTTAATCCCTGCTCACCCCACACTGAGTCAGGAACTTTTCCTGGGATCCCAGAGCTTCCTGTGCCTCCCCCACCTCCAGCCCTCACCCCTCTGCCTGTGCCTCCCCCTCCAGGTCATGAATCATCTGGCCTGTGCTTCCTCATCGTGGTTGGTACGAACCACTCTAGGTCATCACTGCATGGTGCCAGCTTCCCCCACAGAACTGGGCACTCTGAGAAGGCAAGGGTCAGGGATGTCTTTTTGTTGCTGTCAAGAGGCAGGGGCAGGTGATGGTGTGTTCTGCATGGAAGGCCAACTGCCTTCCAAAAGCTGTGCTTCCCCTCTGTGCTGTCACATTGCCACCAGGAACTGCTGCCTAGCCAGGAACTCCATTTTCCAGCATGCCTTGCACCTTGGCAGGCCATGTGACTAGCTCTCGCTGATGGAATGGCAACCTACGTGGTATGTCCACTGCCCCAGGATAAGCTTAGTGTACTTAGCCTGGGCATTACTTTTTCCACTTCTGGCCAAAGCAGTTAGGCGGGGGGGCTACCCTCTCAACCTCTCTTATCCTTTCCTTGGGAAGCAGAGCATTTTAAGGCCCCAGGGATGGGACAACCACAAGAGGGAAGGAGCTGGGTCCCTGAATCACCACTTGGAAAAGGGCTGCCCCTGCCTACTGTAGGGGTAATAAAGTGCTATTGTGTTGATCTATTGGAATATCAAGGAATATCTGTTACAACAGCAAAGGCACCCTGACACACATCGCTAGGAACCAACCTGGTGGCTGGAGGCGTCATACAGGAAGTTGGCCCAGTTGGGGTCGGTTTGCATGAATCGGAACTCAAACAGCTCCCGCAGACACAGCTTCAGGAGCTGGAAGCAAATCTGGGGTGGGGAGAAGGAGTAGCAGGCATCAAGGTGTGATCTCCCCTGTGGCACCCTCACTGGCCTGGAGAGGGACCAGAAGCCTGGCCCACCTGCCCTGGGGCCATGCCCTTCCCATGGTGCCACCAGACTGCATACCTCATTCCGCAGGTCCTGGCTCAGGCCCTGGCACTGGTCCAGGGGCACCCCACCAGCTAGCTCCATGCCCAGCACCCGCGTCGTGCTCAGCTCCTTAACCACGGCTGGCACTCGGAAGAAGGGGTCATTTGCCAGCAGCTGCCTGGGGCAGGAGGGAAGCGGGGAAAGGGACTTCATGTTTCAGGCCCGTGAGCCAGCTTGAGGCCTCCTCCTCTTGCTCTCAGAAGTCCTCCATGAACAATCTGCGTCATGCCCTCCCTCCTGCCTATCTTGCCACTGTCTGCCCTGGGTGATGACTAATCTGGCTGGACTGACATTTAACAAGTATCTCCAAGGTGCCTACTCTGCACCTGCCCCTAAACTGGGTGCTGCTGGAAACCAGGTACCACTTCCCTAGCCGAAATGCTTCTATGACTTCTGGTTGCCCCAGAAGGATACGCTTAGTGTACTTCAGCCTTTGCTTTACTTTTTTCACGAATTTACTAATTCGTTCATCCCAAAAGTAGTCACTGACATCAAAATCTGTGAAGTCTACAGTGATGCCCACAGGTCACTCCTTACAGTCACTACTGTGAACATAGGTAAATAATGCGAAAGAATCCTCTGTGTCCGTCCCTGTGCTAAATGGTGCTGGGGACAGGGCAGAGAATGAACGAATCCCTGGACCTGCCCCCCAGTCCCGAGACCACACTCTCACAAACAGACGGTAAGTGTGTTGGCCGGGTGTGGTGGCTTACACCTGCAATCCCAGCACTCTGAGACAGCGAGGTGGGAAAATAGCTTGAGCCCAGGAGTTCAAGACCAGCTTGGGCAACATGGTGAAACCACATCTCTACGAAAAACTACAAAAATGAGCTGGGCGTGGTGGCCTGCGCCAGGTACTCAGGAGGCTGAGGCGGGAGAATCACTTGAGCCTGGGAGGTTGAGGCTGCAGTGAGCTGTGATATCACCACTGTATTCCAGCTTGGAAAACAGAGCAAGATCCTGTCTCGAAAAAATAAAAGAAAATCATTGTGTTCACGTAAGATTTGGGAGGCAGAGAATATGAGCAAGGCCCCTGGTTGAGGACCTGTGGGATGGCTGGAGGAGAGTGAGGGGAAACAGGAGGGTGGTGTGGGGTTTCATCCTAAGGGCACTGGGAAATCCTGTGGGGGAGGGGGGTCTCTGGCCCATCACCCCACTTCGCACTCTTCTCAAGTTCCTGCTTTGGGGTATTTTTGTCCTTATTGATAAAAATCTCTGATGTTTGAATCGCTCCTCATGAACTCGAGCCATGCTGGGCATTTCATCGGCACACTCCCCTTTCATCCGTACTCTGTGGTGCGGGGCTGCTCTCTGGAGACCACCATACGGCTGCAGGCCACGAAACCTGTTTAGGGCTGACCTGGAACTTCACCCCACATCCGAGTCCAGGGTGTGTGCCTCTAACCACTGCCTTCTACTGATCTTTCTCTCTGTCTATGGAGCTTGACACATTTTGGGCTATCAATAAATGTGTGAGCCACACTGTAGAGGACCCCACAGAGGTACCATTAATTGCTACACATCAGGATCCTTCCAAGATAGAACCACATTGTTCCACATAGCCATGGTTCATCCATTTTCACTGCTTCGTAATATTCCACAGATGAATATAGCATTGCTTATTGGTCCACCCTGCTGGATAAACTTGATGGATCTGGGTTGTTACCAGTTTTAGCCTGTTGCAGACAGAGCTGCTGTGAGTATTCTAGAATAGTCCGATGGTGTATAGTGGGGTCCCTAGAGTGTTCAGCAGGGAGGGCAATTGTTGGGTTGCAGAGTTTGTGAATAGAAGGGCTTATGTGATGATGCCAGCCTGTTCTCAAAACGCTTCTGCTACCTTCTCCCCCAACCTGCGGTGCAGAAGGGATGCCGTGCAGCCCGCTCTCTCCACCTCCCAGTGCTGCGGGCTGCTTGGTCTCTGTCAGTCCAACAGAGGTAAGAGTGTGGACTTTTACCTGCATTATTAAGTGTGTGGGTCGGATCACAGTGGATAGGCGTCCCGTCTGACAGAGAAGGCTGCCGCTTGGGAAGTGACCTGCCCAAGCTCAGAGAGGACACGGGGGTACGCAAAGTGATGAGTGGGTGAATGGACAGATGAACAATGATTGAAAGAAAGAGCCGGGCATGGTGGCTCAGGCCTGTAATCCCAGCACTTTGGGAGGCTGAGGCAGGCAGATCACCTGAGGTCCCGAGTTCGAGACCAGCCTGACCAATACAGAGAAACCCCATCTCTACTAAAACTACAAAAATTAGCGGGGTGTGATAGCACGTGCCTGGTAGTAGTCCCGGCTACTCAGGAGGGTGAGGAGGAGAGTCGCTTGAACCCGGAAGGTGGAGGTTGCAGTGAGCCAAGATTGCACCACTGCACCCCAGCCTAGGCAATAAGAGCGAGACTCTGTCTCAAAAAAAAAAAAAAGAAAAAGAAAAAGAAAGAGTTTTCCCCACCCCACAGTTCCAGCTGCCAGGAGCGGAGGGGGAATCTACTTCCCACCCACCCTGGGAGGGAAGAAAGGAGGAAGCTCGGGGGCTCAGCTCACCTGAAGTTCCGGGCACAGGCTGCCTCACGACGGTAGTCACACTCCCAAGCCAGCTCCTGTTGCAAAGCCTGCAGGCTCTGCTCAGCAAACAGGCCTGTGGGGGAGGCGTGTCAGCTGGGAAAGGGCCTGGGGCGCCCACTGCTGGATGCCTTCTCCTGCCAACCCTCCCTCTCCCGCAGCTCCTGCTCCAGACCTCTGACCCGCATCGCATCATCTGTCTGCACATTTCCCTCGTGTTTCACATGAACCGTGGGGTTCCCTGGGGTCTTCTGAAGCCTTTCCTGGGATCTGTCTCTTGGGCGTGCCTGCACCCCAGTCCCTGGCAGCTCTTTCAGAGTCACGCTCACTCCGACTGTCTGCTTTTCGTACAGGCTCTCATGTTGTTCACTGCCTCTGAGTCTCAGTTCTGGCCCAGGCTTTCCCTCTCCCTCTCTTACACAAACACAACCCGCCCTCCCTTCTCCAGGCGCCTCCTCACGTGCCATCCGCAGGATTGTCCTTTTCTGCTCTGCTACACCTACAATCCCGCTCCCTGCATGCACACCCTTTACGAGTCTGCTGCTGGATTTCAGCCCTGGGTTCCTGTCTCTCTGCGGCTCTGTTAAAATCTGTAAGGCTCATGCTCCCTGGGCTCTCCCCACCTCAGTGTGCTTTCCGTCTCTCACGCTCCGGCTCACAATGCCAGCACACCCTGCCAGTGCTCCCCTCTGGACTCCTCCTGCTTTCTCTCTCTGGCATAGCCCCTTTGGAGATCAGCAGAGGAGTGGGTGGGCATCTCACCCGCGGGCAGAGCCGCGCTCATCTGGAGCACCGCCAGCAGGTTCTGTACATCGCTCTGAATGCTCTGGGCCACACCAGGGTACTGTCAGGGAAGAGGGGGGAGGGTGGGAGTCACTCCTCCGGGCCAGCAGGGTGCCCGCCCCTACCCTGCCCAGCCTCCCCTCTCACCTGGATCTTCACAGCCACCTCCGTCCCGTCCCTCAGCAGGCCCTGGTGCACCTGCCCAATCGAGGCAGCGGCAAAGGGCACCTCCTCCAGGGAGGCCACCTTGGTCTGCCAGTCCTTGCCAAGCTCCTCTTCAAGAACTCTCTGTGGGGAGTGGTCACAGCCATCATCAACAGCCATCATCATCACAGCTGAGTTCATTCCCCAGGCTGAGTGCTTTACGTGTTGATAACCCCAACACTCACCATATGCAGGGCCCTGGGCTAAGCTCTTGGCTGCCATCCTCTTTACAGATGAGGAAACTGACACTCAGAGAGAACTCTCTTGCCCAAGTGACTCGCCTGGCACTGGCAGACTGTGAGGCTCAGCCCAGCTTGTGTCCCCCAAGCCTGGACTCCTTGGGCTGATGGGCTGTTATGGGGATTGCTATTATTTATATCTAAGAGTCACAACAATCCCTTTTTTTTGGAAGACAAGGTAGCCCAGGCTGGGGTACAATGGCACCCTCACGGCTCACTGCAGCATCAACCTCCCCAGCTCTAGCCATCCTCCTGCCTCCTGAAGAGCTGGGACTACAGGTACATGCCACTGTGGCCGGTTAATTATTACTGTTATTATATTTAGTAGCGACAAGGTCTCACTATGTTGCCCAGGGTGGTCTGGAACTCCTGGGCTCAAGCAGTCCTCCTGCCTCAGCCTCCTAAGTGATTACAGGCATGAGCCGTCGCACCTCGCCAACCATCCTTATTATGCTCTTATGTGGTATTATTAACTCACAGTCAATGTGATCAAGAAGAGCTAAAATTCATAGAGGGCTTCCTGTGGGCCAGGTCCTATTCAGAGTGGCCCAGAGAGAGGTGGTAGCTGCCTGGGCCACATGGTGAGTAAGCAGAACAGGGACTGAGGGCAGGTGGGTGGTGGAATCCTGGATTCCGTGCCTTACCGAGTTATTATTACTCATGTCTTGGGTACTTGCTCAGTGCCAGGGGCCATGCCAACTTATTTACAGACATGATCTCCTTTAATTAAGAAAACGGTAATAATCACCACTAACACCTGCATGTCACTCACGGTGAATCAGGGGCTGTCCTCAGTGCTCTGTGTAAGCTAATTTATGTGATCCTACAATGTAGCTGTGACTGTCACTCTTGCCAGTTCCCAGGCACGGGAACTGATGCACAGAGGTCAAGCTGCTGCTCTTCCATCACAGCAATGCTAGCAGGTGTGTACTTTGGTGACCTTCATTTTACAGATGGGGAAAGGGAGGCTCAGAGGTAGGGAGTGGGGCAGTGAAGCCAGGAGGGTCAGGCAGGTCGGGGAAGATGGAGCCTGTCTCCCTCACCACCCTCCCGCCCCGGGCACTCACCAGCATCTGCCAGCGGGGCATGAAGTCGGCGCTCTGGCGGACCCGCTCGAAGATGCGCTGCAGCTGAGGACTCATGCAGCTGTTGTCTTGGGGACAGTGGAACGACGGGGGGCAGTAAGGAAGGAGGTGAGGAAGGACCCCCATGTGAATACCTGAAGTTGGGGCTTGGTGGTGGTAGGGCTGGGGTGGAAATGAGATCAGGGTCAGGGGTCGGGGTGGAGGGTCATGCTGTACCCTGGATGCTGAGCATCTGGCCAACCTTGAGGGCGGCCCCTCGAACTGTACATAAAGTCTGCACAATCCGCTCTGCATTGGCCTCTGACAGGAAGGGGCTGGAGTCCAGCCCAGAGCCACCCTCTGGGGAGAGAACAACATTAGAATTAACAACCACAAATATCATCACTGCAGCCGGGCCTGGTGGCTCACGCCTATGATCCCAGCACTTTGGGAGACTGAGGTGGGATGAATACAGGACCCTGAGACTAACCTGGCCAACAGTGACATCCTTTCTCTATTAAAATAAAATATATCATCTGCACGCCAACGGGAATGACTAAAACGAAATATGGAAGCCAGGTCTGTTGGTTCACGCCTATAATCCCAATACTTTGAGAGGCCAACGAAGGAGGAAGGTTTGAGCCCAGGAGTTCCAGACCAGCCTGGACAACGAAACAAGACCCTGTCTCTAATTAGCTGGGTGTATGGTGGCATGTGCCCATAGTCCCAGCTACTCAGGAGGCTCAGGCGGGAGGATTGCTTGAGCCCAGGAGGTTGAGGCTGCAGTGAGACATGATCACACCCTTGCCCTCCAGCCTGGGCAACAGAGCTAGACTCTGTTTCGGAAAAAAAAAGAAATAAACATAAATTAAAACAAATTGCAGGAGAGTCACAGAGTGCCTACTACAGTATCGAATAGACGAGCTACCACCACACACTACAGCCCAGGCGCGTCTCACAAACGTGCGCAGTGAAAGCAGCCAGGTGCGTGAGAGAATACCACCCAGTTACACTGATGCAAACAGCAAAACGAGGCAAAACAAATCCAGAGTCCAGGACCCAAGACAGAGGTCACCCTTGGTGAGGGGAGTGACCAGGTGGGGACATGAGAAGGGCAACAATTCTTGAAATGTGGGCCAGGGACCGCTGAGGGTCTGAGAGATCAAACTACTTTCCTCGTGACATTAAGATGTTACTTTTCCTTTTCTGCTCTCACACCTCTGAGAACTTTCAGTGGAGTTCTCCAGAGGCACCAGGACATGTGAGGACATCATCAGGCTGACAGTTGATGGAATGTGTACGTGTGTACTCTTGTGTGTTAAAAATGTCTCCATTTTTTTGTGTGTTTATGAGACGATGTCTCACTCTGTCACCCAGGCTGGAGTGCAGCGGCACAATCACAGCTCACTACAACCTCCTGAGCCCAAGTGATCCTCCTGACTCAACCTCCTGGGTAACTGCAACTGCAGGTGTGCACCACCAGGCTTTGCTAATTTTTTTACTTTTTGTAAAAGTGGGGCCTCGCGATGTCACCCAGACTGGTCTCAAATTCCTTACCTCAAGGGATCCTCCTGCTCCAGCTTCCCAAAGTGTTGGGACAGACATAAGCCACCACACCTGGCCTAAAAATTTCTCAGTTTTAATCTCTAATACAGTAAACATCGATAAATATAACCCACATAAACAACCTCTTCGGGTGCTCATTCTATTTTTAACAGTTTTATTGAGAAATAATTCATATACTGTATAGTTCGCCATTTAAATTATATAATTCAATGATTATTAGTATATTCAAAGAGTTGTGCAAGCATCACCAGAATCAACTTTAGGACAGTTATACCACCCAAAAAAGAAACCTCGCCGGGCATGGTGGCTCAGGCCTGTGATTCCAGCACTTTGGGATGCCGAGGAGGGAAAAATCACTTGAGCTCATGAGTTTGAGACCAGCCTGGGCAATGTGGTAAAACCCCATCTCTACAAAAGATACAAAATATAGCCACATGTGATGGTGCACACCTATAGTCCCAGCTACTCAGGAGACTGAGGCAGCAGGATCACATAAACCCAGGAGATGGAGGTTACAGTGAGCCATGATCCCGCCACTGTACTCCAGCCTGGGTGATAAGAGGGGGACTTTGCCTCAAAAAAAGAGAAAAAAAGAAACCCTGTACCCATTAGCAGTCACTCCTCATTTTCCCCAATCTCCCCAGGTCTTGACAACCACTAATCTACTTGTGTCCCTACAGATTTCCCTATTTTGTACATTTCATATTAATGGAATCATTCAATATGTGGTCTTTCTGCGTTTGGCTGCTTTCACTTAGTGTTTTCTTTTATTTCTTTTTTCCTTTTTTGAAACGGAGTTTCGCTCGTTTACCCAGGCTGGAGTGCAATGGTGCGATCTTGGCTCACCTCAACCTCCACCTCCTGGGTTCAGGCAATTCTCCTGCCTCACCCTCCCAAGTTGCAGGGATTACAGGTGCCTGCCATCACACCCAGCTAATTTTTTGGATTTTTAGTAGAAACAGGGTTTGGCCATGTTGGCCAGGCTGGTGTTGAACGCCTGATTTCAGGTGATCCACCTGCCTCGGCCTCCCAAAGTGCTTGGATTACAGGCATGACCCACCGTACCTGGCCTCACTTAGTGTTTTCAAGATTCATCTACATTACAGCATGTGTCAGTCCTTCATTCCTTTTTATGGCTGGATAATATTCCATTATATGCCTATCACATTGTATTTATCCATTCATCAGTTTTTTTTTTTCTTTGTTTTTGTTTTGAGACATAATATTGCTGTTGCCCAGGCTGGAGTGCAGTGGTGTGATCTTGGCTTACTGCAGCCTCCACCTCCCACATTCAAGCAATTCTCCTGCCTCAGCCTCCTGAGTAGCTGGGATTATAGGTGAGCGCCAACATGCGCAGCTGATTTTTGTATTTTTAGTAGAAACGGGGTTTCACCAGTTGGTCAGGCTGGTCTCAAACTCCTGACCTCATGATCCACCCACCTTGGCCTCCCAAAGCGCTGGGATGACAGGCATAAGCCACCACACCTGGCAACCATTCATCAGTTTTAAGGGTGTACAGGGATCCTGAGGCCAAGAAGTTTCACAGCTGCTATTCTAGGGTTTCTTGCACTGGGTACAGACAAATCTACTTTGAGAAAACCCACCAAGCCATACACTTACAGGTATGTGTACCTGGTTTTATATGAAAATCACATTTCAGCTTTGGCAAAGCATTTTATTTATTTATTTATTTTTTATTTTTTGAGACGGAGTTTCGCTGTTGTTACCCAGACTGGAGTGCAATGGCACGATCTCGGCTCACCACAACCTCTGCCTCCTGAGTTCAGGCAATTCTCCTGCCTCAGCCTCCCGAGTAGCTGGGATTACGGGCACGTGCCACCATGCCCAGCTAATTTTTGTATTTTTAGTAGAGACGGGGTTTCACCTTGTTGACCAGGATGATCTCGATCTCTTGACCTCGTGATCCACCTGCCTCGGCCTCCCGCGTAGCTGGGGTTATAGGCGTGAGCCACCGTGCCCGGCCGCATTTCTTTTTTTTTAATATGAGCACTTCATGAATTTGTATGTCAGCTCTGCACAGGGGCTGTGCTAATCTCTGTCTCACTCCAGTTTTTCCTTACATGTGAGGCAGATGCAAGCACAGCACAACAAAGCCCTATTTAAGCTTTCATTAGTTTTGACGGCCAGTCGTGGTGGCTCACACCTGTAATCCCAGCACTTCAGGAAGCCAAGGTAAGAGCATCTCTTGAGTCCAGAAGTTCAAAGCTGTAGGGAGCCATGACTGCACCACTGCACTCCAGCCGGAGTGACAGAACAAGACTCTACCTTAATATAAAATTTAAAATAAAATACATTTTATTGAGCTCATTATTGAGTGCTCACCCTGTTCCAGGCAGAATCCTGAGTGTCTTTGTGGATTCTCTGGCTGAATGCCCACAGTCACTCCAGGAAGTAAGAAAGTGGGGTATAGACTCAGACTGGCCCTACCCAAACCCTAATCCTCTACCTACCCTCAACTTTTTATTTTGAAAAAAAATTCAGGCTGGGTGTGGTGGCTCATCCCAGCACTTTGGGAGGCCAAGCGGGAAGGATCACTTGAGGCTAGACGTTCCACACCAGCCTGGGCAACATGGTGAAAACCTAGCTCTACAAAAAATACAAAATATTAGCCAGGTGTGGTGGCATGTGTCTATACTCCCAGCCACTCAGGAGGCTGAGGTGGGAGGATCACCTGAGCCTGAGGAAGTCAAGGCTGCAGTGAGCCGTGACTGCACCACTGCACTCCAGCCTGGGTGACCCAGCAAGACCCTGTCTCAAAAAAAGAAAAAGAAAAAGAGAAAGAAAGAAATTAAAAGAAAGAAAGAAAGAAGGAAAGAAGGAAAGAAAGAAATCCAAACAGAAAAACTGCATGCATAATATCCTGAACACCTGCACACCCTCCACCCCGATTCAACATGGTACCATTCGGCTTCATCTGCTTTATCTGTGCGTGTGCCCACACACTTGCTATTATTATTTTTTGCTGACCCACTTACATGTAGTTGCACTTAAGCTTTGCTAAGAATAAGGATATTCCCCTACACAATCACAGTACCATAATCACATGTAAGAAAATTAACACTGATTCCCTAAAATCTGCCATCCAGTCCATATTCGGATTTTCCAATTGTCCCCAAAAAGTCTTTCAAGTTTTTTTCCAAACTATAATCCAATCATGGTTCATATACTCCATCTGTCAAATGATGTCTCTTTCATCTCTTTAATCTAGAATATCCACCCCCACTCGTTTCAAGACATTGACTGGTTGAGGAATCTTATCCGCAAATGCTACACGTCTAATTCCATCTCTGATGTACACAGAACCCCGCTGGCACTTCTATTTTCAACTTTCCGCTCCTGCTCCGATTTAGGAACTCCCAATGGCTTAAAGTTTTCTCCGATAATCTAATATATGGCCAGGCACAGTGGCTCATGCCTGTAATCCCAGCACTTTGGGAGGCTGAGGCAGGCAGCAGATCACTTGAGGTCAGGCATTCGAGGCCAGCCTGGCCAACATGGTGAAACCCCATCTCTACTAAAAACACAAAAATTAGCTGGGTGTGGTGGCGCGTGCCTGTAATCTCAGCTTCTCTGGAGGCTGAGGCAGGAGAATCGCTTGAACCAGGAGGCGGAAATCGCAGTGAGCCAAGATCACGCCATTTGCACTCCAGCCTGGGCAACAGAGGAAGACTCCATCTAAAAAAAAAAAAAAATCTAATATGCTTCTCTTAATCATGACCCTGATAGTGGTGTAGGTTTGTTCAGAGCACTTCACAGTGACTCTAAGAGGTGGTAAATTATCATCACCTTCATCTTCCAGATGAGGAAACCGGAGCTCAGAGGGGTGAAGTCACTTGTCCAGGTCACAGGCAAAGCCAAGATATGAACCCAGGCAGTATGGCTCACTCACCTGACTTTAGATGACCTCCTGGCAGGGACTTCTTAGCCATCTCGACCAGCGCTCCCAGCCCCAAGCCCACAGCCAGTCCTGGGGTGCAAGAGAAGAATATGAGTACCCGTTAGCCTGGGGTGCCCTCCCCCAACCCACACTCCTTTCTCAGTTTCTCTCTAAGAATGCTTGTCACCCAACTCTTTTTCTTCCTTTTGTTTGAGATGGAGTCTCGCTCTGTTGCCCAGGCTGGAGTGCAGTGGCACAGTCTTGGCTCACTGCAACCTCCATCTCCTGGATTCAAGTGATTTTCTTGCCTCAGCCTCCCAAGTAACTGGGACTATAGGCATGCATCCACACGCCCGGCTAATTTTTTTTTTGTATTTTTAGTAGAGATGAGGTTTCACCATGTTGGCCAGGCTGGTCTCGAACTCCTGACCTCTGGTGATCCTCCTTCCTCAGCCTCCCAAAGTGCTAGGATTACAGGTGTGAGCCACCACACCTAGTCTTGTCTCTCCCAACTCTTTCTTGCCAAATCTTTGTATCTCTGTCTCCAAATCAGTCTCCGACTCTCTTCCCACACAGAGCTCCCTTCAAGATGCGGCTTCCTCTTTCTTTAATCCTCCCTCCACGTCTCTGTCTCCCTCCCAGCAGTTCTCAGTCCTGGCTGCACATTCGAGTCACCAGAAGAGCTCCGGTAAACATGATGTCCAGACTCGACTCCCGAGATGCTGATGAAATTGCACTGAGACACGGGAATTTGTGCTTTGTTAAAAAGCATCTCAGATAATTCTAATGTGTGGCCAAGGTTAAGAAGACCCCAGAACAATCATCCCAGGTCCCTCTGTCTTCTGGTGACTCCTCTCTCTGTCCACACTTTCTCTTCTTTATGCTCATCTTTCTCTCTCTCCTTTTTTATTTCCAAATCTGCAATGTGGTCATCTTTCTCTTTTTAGAGACAAGGTCTCACTCTGTCGCCCAGGCTGGAGTGCAATGGCACCATCACGGCTCACTGCAGCCTCAAATTCCTGGGCCCAAGTGATCCTCTTGCCTCAGCCTCCCAAGTAGCTGAGATCACAGGTGCATGACGCTCACCTAATTCTGTATTAAGACAGAGTCTCACTATGTTGCCCAGGCTGGTCTGGAACTCCTGAACTCAAGCGATCCTCCTGCCTTGGCCTCCCAAAGTGCTGGGATTACAGGTGTGGGCTACCAGGCTTGGCTGCTCCTTTTCTAAGCCAGTTATTTCTGCATCTCTTCCCTTCTCCCCATTTGTTGGATCTATCTAGGCCTCTTTCTCTCTTTTCCTCCCTGTGATGTTATCTCTCCATGTCTGATTTCCTCTGATACCTCTCCTCTTGTCCCTAAAGACCTCTCGGGTCTTGCTCCTTCTGTTATCCTCACCATCTCTGTCAATTACCATACCTGGCATTTTCTGTGTCCTTTCCACATGTCAGGGGCTATTCCCAGTGCCTTCTGTGCACTTACTCATTTTTGTCCTTACATGAAGTCCTCACTTTCATGAAATATATTTTACAAAAAAACTTCTACTTTACAGAAAAGGAAACTGGGGTTCAGAGAAGTGAAGTAATTTGCTCACAGTCACAAAGCGAGGACAAGCAGAGTTGTCCCTTGATCCCTGGGCAGCCTGGTGCCAAAGCTCTAACCAGTGCCTTCGACTGCCTCTGTAGACTGTGAATCAATCTAACTATATCTATATATATCAATTTTTTTTTAAGAGACGAAGTTTTGCTCTTGTTGCCCAGACTGGAGTGTCATGGCATGATCTTGGCTCACCACAACCTCTGCCTCCCAGGTTCAAATGATTCTCCTGCCTCAGCCTCCCAAGTAGCTGGGATTACAGGCCTGTGCCACCATCACGCCTGGCTAATTTTGTATTTTTAGAACAGCCGGGGTTTCTCCATGTTGGTCAGGCTGGTCTCAAACTTCCAACCTCAGGTGATCCATCCGCCTTGACCTCCCAACGTGTTGGGGTTACAGGCATGAGCCACTGTGCCCAGCTGAATCTATATTTTTAAAACTTGAACTGGGCCAGACACAGTGGCTCATGTCTATAATCCCAACACTTTGGGAGGTTGAGACAGGCACATCACAAGGTCAAGAGTTTGAGACCAGCCTGCCCTACATGGTGAAAGCCCGTCTGTACTAAAAATTCAAAAATTAGCCAGGCGTGGTGGTGTGCACCTGTAATACCAGCTACTCAGGAGGCTGAGGTAGGAGAATTACTTGAACCTGGAAGGCGGAGGTTGCAGTGAGCTAAGATCGTGCCACTGCACTCTAGCCAGGGGACAGAGCAAGACTCCATCTCGGGGTGAGGGGAACTTGAACCATAATCTGCAGTAAAGAAGATATTCACATTATAAATAGTGCAGACCAAAGTATATGTTTCATGAAACAAGATTTTCCCTTGCTCCACAGGTACACGCATATTTTTCATGCAGGTTCTGACCTGCATGAAATCCAGCTATGTAACCCAGAGTCAAGTTATCTCCCTCTCTTAGCCTCAATGTCCTCATCTACAGAATGCATTGATTCGGTGCAGCATGTGTGTATACGGGCACTGCACATTACGGGTTCTCAGTAAATGTTACCATAGCCAGGAGCAGTGGCTCATGCATAGAACCCCAGGACTTCAGGAGGCCGAGGCAGGAGGATCGCTTGAGACAAGGAGTTCAAGACCAACTTGGACAACATAGGCAGACCTTACCTCCACAAAAAAAATTTTTTTAATTATCTGGGCCAGTTTCAGAGGCTTGCCGGGCGCTGTGGCTCACACCTGTAATCCCAACACTGTGGGAGGCTGAGGCGGGCGCATCACTTGAGGTCAGGAGTTGGAGACCAGCCTAACCAACATGGTGAAACCGTATCTCTAGCCAGGCGTGGTGGTGGGTGCCTGTAATCCCAGCTACCTGAAAGGCTCAGGCAGGAGAATCATTGAACCTGGGAGGTAGAGGTTGCAGTAAGCCAAGATCATGCCCCTGCACTCCAGCCTCGGTGACAGAGCGAGACTCCACCTCAAAAAAAAAAAAATTACCAGGCATGATGGTGCACAGTCATTGTCCCAGCTACTCAGGAAGCTAGGTGAGAGGATTCCTCGAGCCCAGGAGTTCGAGGCTGTGGTGATCGCGCCACTGCACTCCAGATTGGGTAACAAAGTGAGACCCTGTCTCAAAAAAAAAAGAAAATCATCATTTATGTTCCTCTCAATTTCTTTTGGCTTTGCAGGCCCTTTGTCTCTCTTTCTCTGTCTCTCTCTCTCTCCTGTCTCTGAGGCATCTTCTCCCTTGCTTCAATCTGTAATTGTTGCCTCTTCAAGGTCACACCAAGATCCCCCAAAGTCACACCTACCACCAAAGTTGGCCAAGCGGCTGATGCGAGAGGCAGGCACCTTGCGTTCTCGAGAACGGTCACTCAGCTGGGAAATGGGGACAAGGTCTGAGGATGGGAAATCGAGCGTCGTGCCCAGAGAGTGCAGCCACCCTGCCACCACATCCTTCCCCAAGCTCAGGGAGCCAGCAGCCTTCGTGGGGTGTTGAGTGGGGGAAGGGGGCGGGTAACGATACCTGGGGCCGGGGTGTCTTCCTGGGACGCGCCTCTCGTGCCCTACGAATGTCCTCCTCACCCAGGCCTCTCCCAGGCCCATCCTGGTAAAACTTTTGGGCCCAAGAACCTCCACACGGCCACTGCAAGTGATATACTTTGGTAAGGAGGGGAAGACATGGGGTAACTTGGCCCTTCTGGACTCCTCCATTCCTTTTACCTTCTTTGGTCTCCCTCAGCCTCTTCCCCTTGGGGACTCCCTTCCCAGCGTCTTACCCAGCAGTGGGGCCTAGGCCCCAGGGCCCCACAAGGCCGACCAACAGTCTGGCCCAGCTGTCCACCAGTCCCCCGAAGTAGGCCCCCGACCTTCAGCCACATTGCCTGGGGGAGGAGAGGAGGGGTTATTCAGGTAGGAGTTGCCTGGCTTCTTGGCCAGGCCCCCACGTTCCTCGTGTCCACCCTCTCTGATTCCCACCCACCAAATACTTCCTCCACTATTAATAGATTCCCACAGTTTCTGCTGGTTCTCTCCTGGTTGCTAGGAACCCTTAGCTCCTCCTGCGCGCCTCCAAAACGCACTCCCCCCCCACTCCAACCCCCACAGTTGCTAGGGTCCTCCCCCGTTACTAGACACCCACAGTTCCTCCGGGGCTACCTCTCCGCTCCTCTGAAATCCTGCTCGTTGCTTGGCACCGCCTTCCCCTCTTGAGGGTGCACTGTAGGCACCCTCAATTCCTCCGGTGTCCCCCTTAATCCCCACCCCGTTACTGGGCACCTCCCCCGTTGCTAAGCACCCACTGCTCTCAGGCTCCGAGTCCGCAACGTGCTGGGGGCTTTCTGTGCTTCCTGGAGCCTCAGCATGCCTGCCCCTTCGACCAGCCAACCAATGGCGCGGCAGCAACTCGCTGAATGGCATGGAGTTTGTCCATCTGTGCGCGGGGGGCGGGGCCAGAAGGGAGGACCGGCGCTAGAGCCGGGCTTTCGGGTGGGTGTCCCGGACCCGCCTGGGGGGATTGCTGGGGCACCGCGGGAGCGCTCGCGTGCCCTGTCTGCCTTTCCACTCACCTCAAAGCGCCTTGTACGCGACCAGACTCTTCTGTTCCCTACACTATCTTTCTTGCAAGGTCTCCCTTACAAACCTCACACCTCTCTTTTGTAAGAGTATCTTGCCAACTCCCCTTCTTATTTTTACCCCCGGCAGGCTCAACACATCTCCTTTGAATACACATTCGTCCCAGCAAACATTTCCCTTGCACATGGAGCCCCTCCACTTTGCACAAACACCCACATTCTGGCACCCAACCTCCTTCCTTGTGCATATAAACCCCTTGCCTTGCTTGCCAAGTGTCTCCCACTCACGCCTTCAACTGAGTCTCTGTTCCCTCACACACCCTGCTCTCCCGCTCCCCGCCCACCTGCGGGATGGTGCGACTGGGAGCCCTCTGCTTCCTGTAGGCCTGACATTTCCCAGAACACACTCAGCTAAGATTCCCAGTGCTGAGTCAGGAACCTTGGCATCCCAGAAAACCAGCTCCCAGCCTATCTCTCTCTCTCTCTCTCTCTCTGTGTCTGTGTGTGTGTGTGTGTGTGCACGCGCGTGCTGGAAATCCTGCTCTACCCACAACAGGCTGAGTCACCCACTTCTCACAGTCTGGAATAGAAGCAGCTGGTTGGGGCATCCTTCCCACCACTGGGAGAGGGAGGGATGCCGATGCTTCTCCCAGAGAACCCCGCTGCCCCAACCCCTCTTGTCGGGAATCAGGCCTCTTTGTCTCTATTCCCGTACTGTGTGACTCAGAGAAGCCCTCATCCCTCTCCGGACTACTGCTTCCCAACTTGTATGATGTACTGGGTTGGCTCCTGGCTTTGATTTCTCATTGGTCTGTGAAGAGGTGATTCATTTTACATCCTTGGACCTGTGCCCAATGTCTCCCAGGTGACTAAATTTCTTTCTTTCTTTTTTTTTTGAGACGGAGTTTTGCTCTTGTTGCCCAGGCTGGAGTGCAATGGCCCGATCTCGGTTCACAGTAACCTCCTGGGTTCAAGCGATTCTCCTGCCTCAGCCTCCCGAGTAGCTGGGATTACAGGCATGCGCCACCTGGCTATTTTTTGTATTTTTAGCAGAGATGGGGTTTCTCCATGTTGGTCAGTCTGGTCTCGAACCCCTGACATCAAGTGATCCGCCCACCTCAGCCTCCCAAAGTGCTGGGATTACAGGTGTGAGCTACGGCGCCCGGCCAAGGTGACTCAATTTCAAGACAATCCACCTCCTGTCCCCCTTCAGACGTGAAGGGCTGACAGCGGCTGGGTGGCAGCTCAGCCTTGGGGGCAAAATATATAAAAAGCATCTATGACAATAACTAACCCTACTAGGCTACAGCTGACAGTGCCAGGCCCGGGGCCACATGCTTCACATACATGAGGTCATATCAGACAGCCCTGTAGCTGCAAACAAAGGGTAGAGGCCGGCTGATCTCTGAGCCTCTGTCCTCACGTGTAAAATGGAGCCCTGGCATCCCTATTATTCAGCTGTAGAGAATGAACTGAAATCGTGTCGGGGTCTGATACTGAACAAGTGTTCTATACATGAGAGAGATTTCTTACGGAAACTTCAATGGAGCTTAAGTCATTTGCTCAGGAGGGCGGAGCTGGGAACGGGCAGAGGAAGGTCTCCAACCCTCACCCCTGGGATCTCCAAGTCTTTTAAAGTCCGTTCTGCTCCTGCGTGAAGAATGGGCGCGCGGCTAGACTCGTCCCTGGGGATTTTAGTGAAGGTTGAACTTGTCATTCGACGGTGTAGGGAGGGTGGATTATTCACAAGGGTGGAGGAATAAGGCCAACTGGCGCGCCACCAGGACCCCAGTGCCCTAGATGCTTACCTGGTTGCGCTTCGGCTGCTCCGAGGCAACACCCCCATGGGAGGCGGAGTCGGACGAGGCTCCGTCTCGTTCCATTACGTCACGTCCGGTGGGGCGGGGCTTCGGGGCTTTCCCTTGGAAGGGGAGTATCGGTTAACCCTTGCGCGGCGGGGCAGGCTGGAGCTCCGCGGGCCGGAACCTGAGAGTCGGGGCTACCCAGCCACACCCCTCACGGGATTTAAAGGGATAGAAGGGGCCGGATCGGCCTAAGCCCGAACCAAAGGAGCGGGCATGAGGCGCTGCCCGTGCCGCGGGAGCCTGAGCGAGGCGGAGGCCGGGGCGCTGCCCGCAGCGGCCCGCATGGGACTGGAGGCACCGCGAGGAGGGCGGCGGCGGCAGCCGGGACAGCAGCGACCTGGGCCCGGCTCAGGGGCCCCAGCGGGGCGGCCGGAGGGGGGCGGGCCCTGGGCCGGGACGGAGGGGTCCAGCCTCGGTCCTACTCCGGGGACCGATAGTTCACAGACAGAATTCTGGACAGACGGACAGACTGAGCCCGCGGAAGCTGGCCTTGGAGTAGAGACCGACAGGCCCAACCAAAAGACGGAGCCATACAGGTCCAGCCTCCAGACGCATCCAGAAAGGAGCTGGTCAGAGCTGGAGACGACCTGTCCTTGGACGGAGACCGGGACAGATGGCCTTTGGACTGATCCGCACAGGTCCGACCTCCCGTCTCAGCCCGAGAAGGCCAGCCCCTGGACACAGCCAGGGGTTGATGGGCCCTGGACAGAGCTGGAAACACATGGGTCACAGACTCAGCCAGAGAGGGTCAAGTCCTGGGCTGATAACCTCTGGACCCACCAGACCAGTTCCAACCTACAGACTCACCCAGAAGGAGCCTGTCCCTCAACAGAGCCAAGTGCTGATGGCTCCTGGAAAGAACTGTACAATGATGGCTCCTGGACACAACAGAATATTGAAGGTCCCTGGACAGAGCCATACACTGATGGCTCCCAGAAAAAACAGGATGCTGAAACAGCCAGGAAACAGCCTGGCATTGGTGGTTTCCAAACACAACAGGATACTGATGGCTCCTGGACACAGCCTGGCACTGATGGTTCCCAGACAGCACCTGGGACAGACTGCCTCTTGGGAGAGCCTGAGGATGGCCCATTAGAGGAACCAGAACCTGGGGAATTGATGACTCACTTGTACTCTCACCTGAAGTGTAGCTCCCTGTGCCCTGTGCCCCGCCTCATCATCACCCCTGAGACCCCTGAGCCTGAGGCCCAGCCAGTGGGACCCCCCTCCCGGGTTGTTGGGGGCAGTGGCGGCTTCTCCTCTGCCTCCTCTTTCGACGAGTCTGAGGATGACGTGGTGGCCGGGGGTGGAGGTGCCAGCGATCCTGAGGACAGGTCTGGGGTGAGTGGGACCCATCCTGCCCTTGAGCCACATCCCCCCAAACTCCTTATTTCTCTGCCTTGCTTGAGAAGTTCTCTACCCATCGACTCTTAGTTGCCCACCAGCAATTTCATCTCCGGGAAACTCTTCCATCCACTAACCTCCTCCCTCTGACAGCCAGGTTACTAACCCACTCCAGGTACCCCCTCTTAATTGTCTCCTTTCCCCTTCCTACACTGTCTCCAGTCCTGGGGGTCTGCAATGGACAGCCACTGACCGACTTTATGGGGCCCAGGAACCCCTGAAATTGTAGAACTAAGTGAGTCTGTGTGTGTTCACATATATTGTTGTAGTGAGGGTCTGACCTCTGTCAAATCCTCTGGAATCTGAAGAATACTGGAATAGGGAGACAGGCAGGGTGCATTTTCTACCCCACATTTCTTTGTCTGGGGCCTGTGGCTGCCTTAAAGGTTCACAAACCTTCACCACCCCTTAGCCCATTTGTATGCACATTTTTTTATTTTTTGAGATGGAGTTTTGCTCTTGTTGCCCAGGCTGGAGTGTAATGGCACGATCTTGGCTCACTGCAACCTCCGCCTCCCAGGTTCAAGTGATTCTTCTGCCTCAGCCTCCTAAGTAGCTAGGATTACAGGCATGTGCCACCACACCTGGCTAATTTTGTATTTTTAGTAGAGACTGATCTCAGGTGATCTGCCCGCCTCAGCCTCCCAAAGTGCTGGGATTACAAGCATGAGCCACTGCGCCCAGCCTATATGTACATTTTTCTAGGGAGTGAAGCAAATTCCCCCAGCTTTTCATCAGATTCTCAAAGGGCTGTGTGAACCCCAAATGCCAAAGGATTCTTGACCTAGCCAGGAGCCCACCTGGTCTCCCCTGTGACCCGCAGGTCCCCAAAAAGCCCCCTGCATGCTCTTGTTTACTTTGTCCACCCTTGCCCCCAGCTTGGGTGTGGCTCTTCCCTGGTGAATCAGGAGGGCTGGCCAGGCAGGTTCAGGGAGGGCGGGACAGAGCAGAGGCTGATGCGAAACTGGAGAGATTCACGTGGGGCTGGGAGCGGAGTCCGGAGTCCATCAGCTTGTCAGCTTGCCTGCTGAGGCCTCTTATTGCTCTGAGCCCCCCTCACCCCACATGTCTTCCTTAGGGACGTGTTCACACATGTGGCCCTAATTGTGAGAGACAGACCTGCCTTGACGTGCCTGTACCCGTGCGCAGGGGCTGACCCTCCCTGGCCTTCTGCCATCGCTTTTTCCCCTCAGCCTGCCGTCTCAGCTCCTTGGCATGTCAGAACCGCTGGGCTGGAAGTGGGTGAATAATAATAATAATAATAGTAACAACAACAGCTAGAACTCACTCACGTTTAGCTCTGTGCTAAGTGCTGTGCTCTTATTAACTCACTCCTCACAGCAGCCCTAATCAGGTATATATATTTTTTTCTGAGACAGAGTTTCCGCTCTTCTTGCCCAGGCTGGAGTGCAATGGCTCCATCTGGGCTCACCACAACCTCTGCCTCCCCAGGTTCAAGCGATTCTCCTGCCTCTTCTGCCCCAGCCTCCTGAGTAGCTGGGATTACAGGCATGTACCACCATGCCTGGGCTAATTTTGTATTTTTTTGGTTTTAGTAGAGATGGGGTTTCTCCATGTTGGTCAGGCTGGTCTCAAAGTCCTGACCTCAGGTGATCTGCCCACCTGAGCCTCCCAAAGTGCTGGGATTGCAGGCATGAGCCACTGCACGTGGACTTTTTTTTTTGAGACAGAGTCTCTCTCTGTCACCCAGGCTGGAGTGCAGTGGCACAATCTCGGCTCACTGCAGCCTTTGCCTCGTCAGTTCTCCTGCTTCAGCCTCCCTAGTAGCTGGGACTATAGGCTACCACACCTGGCTAATTTCTGTATTGTTAGTAGAGATGGGGTTTCACCATGTTGGCCAGGCTAGTCTCAAAACTCCTGACCTCAAGTGACCCACCCATCTCAGCCTCACAAAGTGCTGGAATTACAGGCATGAGCCATGGTGCCTGGCCAAGGTAGATACTATTATTATCTCTTTTTACAGATGAGGAAACAGGCACAGAGAGGTCAAGTCACTTGTCCAAGGATGCACACATTGGAAGATGCAGATCGGATTCAGATCCTTACTGTACACCAGGCACTATTTTAAGTTTTATCTTTTTTTGTTGTTGTTAAATTTTTTTTTCTTTTTCTTTTTCTTTTTTTTTTTTTTTTTTTTTTGTTTTAGAGATGGGGTTTCACCACGTTGGCCAGGGTGGTCTTGAACTCCTGACATCAGGCAATCCACCTGCCTCGGCCTCACAAAGTACTGGGATTACAGGCATGAGCCACTGCACCTGGCCTTTTTTTCCTGTCATTTTTTTTATCTTAAAATAACATCTATCTTAATTAAGGGCTTTATATGTGTTAACTATGAATCCTACGACAGCACTGAGGTTGTCTCCATTCCACAGATGGGGAGCTGAGGCATAGAGAGGTGAGTTCATTTGCTTAGGGTTGGCCAGGTCAAGTCAGAGCCAGGATTCTAACTCAGTTCTGGCTGAGTTTCAGACCCATCGTTTTAAACCTTGCAGCATGTGGCCCTGTTCCTAACTTGTCTCCCTCCCAGGCCTCTCTGTCTCCAGTTTTTGGTCATCCTTCCAGGATCTGCCTCCATGGCCCAGCTCTGGGCAGACACCACCCTGCTCAGGTGCCCTCTCTGAAAGCAGTCAGGGGCTGGCTCCGTACTGCGTTCAGAGCCTCCGGTCTCCAGGCGCCTTCCCAGACCCAGCTTCCTTCCCTCCTCCTGACCCCCTCTGCTGTAACGAGGCGTGAGTACACGCTGTTCCTTGAACACCCTGCTGCTGTCCTGCCTCCACACATTGCTCAAGCCGTTCCCACTGCCGGCATCCCCTTGCTTCCTTGTCCCTTAATTTTGAAATCCTGTCTGACCGTAAAGGCTCAGCTTCCTTTCTCCCTTTCTTCCTTCCTTCCTTCTCATCATCCCTTCCTTTTTAAAAAACTGTGTTCCTTTTCTCTCTCTCTCTCTT